TTCTCGAGTTAAGGAGAGAAAAATTGAGGAAAAAAAAAATGGGCACCTTAAATCCCAACATTTCTCAATTTTAACAAGGTCTCATTCGTACAGACACTGGTACAGTCATACCCATCTATAGCGACCGCCCAAGGGAAACGCAAAAAGTGGTCTTTGTAGACAGGTTCCTTTAATAGTACATGTTCCAATGAGAAATCAGTTTCAAGGGAATAAAAAATGTGGTCTTTGTAGACAGGTGGTCACTAGAGCAGGTTTGACTGTATATGTGGGTTCAATCTGGACCGCTTTCTAAAAAAAGACGGTGTGGAGCTGCTGGAGCCCAACAGTACATAATGTGCAGTCTACATGTATGTGAACACATTCCATGAGCCAATGTCATCTATTTTCCCATTTTCTCATCCAGATTGATTCCCGAGGGTTGCGTCCCAATTTAAGAGATGTACATGTAGGATTTGCAAACTGCTGGATCCACAGCTAACGCAGCAGCAATCGCGAGATCAATGACCCATTCTGTCTGACGTCAATCCATAATCAAAATTTATGTCGAATGTAGAGCTACATTTATTTTGAAAGCAATGGCCACTCTGAATTATGGAAGATGTTTTCAATCCTAAATGTACTTTGGTAGTCAAAAGAGTATTACAACATAGGCTGCATGAACATGCAGGAGTGCACTTCTGCCTGGCTTTCAACTGACTTTGTTTCAATGTGTATTTGGGAAGCTCTAGCTTTTTATTCCACTTATAGTGTATCTCATAAATGGGCCAACATACTTTCACAGCAGGCTACTTGGCCAAACACCAATTTACCCGTTCTTCAATGCCTTATTTCTCTTCTCAATTTTTCCTAGTTTCATAGACATTTCCATGTTTTGCTAGCCTAACACTTGAAACCTTTTTTCTAAGGCAGGTTTACTTTAATTATGCTCATTAAACGGTTGCTTCCCTCCATTTGAAGGTAACCCATTCTTCTCCCGATCTCCTTGAATGCTTGTCACGGCAATACCTCTCTCCAAACTTTACACAGTACCAGACAAAGGGCCTTGGCACTTTTCTCAAAATCCATTCATTATTAAAGCTCACCAGGCCCTTCTAAAGCAGGTCTATACGCTCTTTGTATGTCACAGGCTGCACAGCACATGAGGTGATGACATACATGTACATGTACGAAAGTGGTGAACCAAAGTTAGCTGATGCTCGTCACTTGTTCCCCCAAAATGACATGTGACCCCTGTTCAGGCAGGGAAGTTTCAACATTTTGGCGTCTATCGCAAGACAAAGAGTGATTAAATTTCCCTTTGATCTGTGTGGTATGCTGAAGTTCTTTGGAACTATGTCGGGAGGCCTTGACATTAGAGGTGGCTCAGTGCAATGGGCCCCCACATTTTCATTCCAGACTCTCAAAAGGGTAAATTCCCACCCAGACCTCGTTTATGAAGAAAAAATAGAAGAAGAAGAAAAAGAATGAAAAAGAAAGACTGTAGAGCCCTCATGTAGAGCTTTATTTTTCACTAGTACCCAATAAAGAATCAAAGCTACTCTTCCTGTGAGCATAAAATAGCTTAAAGATAAACTTGAGTTCTGGTAAAAAAAGAAAATGAATTCTCACAGAATCCAACAAAACTTACACTGAATGTTCAAGATTACAAATAAATGTCATGTGCCAAACAATTTTGGAAGAAAATGTATACTGGCTTAGTAATGAGTATAGAAAGATAAGGAAATCAGAGTAGTACTAGCCCGACATCATGTGTGTTGTCCCATATACATCTTTCTGTGTAAGTGATTGTTACTTTATCAAGACTCTGCCAAATTTATGATGATTTTGATGACTCCAGAACCTTGCATTACACACCATTACTTACATGCTATACGATCAACTTTTCTGATCCATTCCACACCTTTTCTTTCACAATGCAATCGCATTACCAGAACTCAAGTTTATCTTTAATATTTATAAGTGAAAAACATTTTACCCGGCAAATCTCTCCCGCTCAGTTGTCTGTTTTCCATGTTTTCATATACATGTCATATTTATTGCAATTCATTTCACCGACTGTTTATATTACGCTATGTATGTACATGTGCAGTGTTCACTGTACTAATACTTGCTCCGTGTGAATGATCCCCTTCATCTTACTGGGCTATTCTTGTGTCAAGGGACCTCCTGATCTGATTAGTGATTCAGTCAATTTATATCGAGACCCTTGTCAATTACAACTTCCACGACAGCCCCCGAAAAGGGGGGCAACATCTAACCATCTCCTTATCTGCTGTCACACTCGCAAGAGTGATAGTTAGCTTGTAAAACTCATGCAGGGGGAAGCAATGGGAGCTTTAGATGACTGCCAAATACATCTTTCCTATAGGCCCTTTGCTGAATATCTTCCTGGCTTGTAATTCTGTGTCTGAAGTTTCTTATGGGTACTTTAATTACTTACACTGAGTTTTTGTTCTAGTTTTGATGTGTATTATGGTGCAACAAAAGTTGACTTTTACAAGTAAATGTAACTTAAGTTCATTCGAGGATGAATCATACATTTATTCATTATTCACAATCTTGCAGAAATATCTAACCCAAAAAATTATTTGTCCCTCTTGATGCTGCTGTTGCATGTTCTGTTACAAAAACCCTTATAGATGTACAGTCAAACCTGTTTTAGGGTGCGTTCAATCGAATTTTCGAAGCTAGAAACACAAACATGAATCACAATTCAAAACGCCGTTACAAAAAGCAAGGTCACTGCGGTTTGCGTTCAAGCGATTTTTCATCAACACTGATTCTAGCTCATTGCGAGCCAAACCACTGCGCATCACACTGCGCAGTATGGCCCAGGAACTTCGGCGCGCGCTTTCTGGAATTGTTTACGGCCGACTGTCGACTGCTGTTTTGAGCATAGATCGCAATAATAAGACAAAGAATGAGAAGGTGATAGAAGGAAGAAACAAAGAATAACATAAGGAAAGACAGAAAGATAAAGTCGATAGAATGATTAAAACAAAGAATAACATAAGAGAAGGTGAAAGAAGGAAGAATCGAAGAATAACATAAGGAAAGACAGAAAGAGAGAGTGATAGAATGCTTAAAACAAAGAATTACATAAAAGGTGATAGAAGGAAAAAACAAAGCATAAGATAAGAATAGAAGAAAGAAACAAAGAATAACAAAAGAAAAGGTAATAGAAGGAAAAAACAACGAATAACATAAAAATAGAAGGAAGAAACTTAGAATAACATAAGGAAAGACAGAAAGAGAATGTGAAAAAAGGAAGGAACAAAGAATGACATAAGGAAGAACAGAAAGAGAAAGTGATAGAATGATTAAAACAAAGAATAACATAAGAGAAGGTGAAAGAAGGAAGAATCAAGGAATAACATAAGGAAAGATAGAAAGAGAAAGTAACAAAATGATTAAAACAAAGAATAACATAAGAGAAAGTGATAGAATTATAAAAACAAAGAATAACATAAGAGAAGATGATAGAAGGAAGAAACAAAAAATAACATAAGGAAAGACAGAAAGAGAAATTGATAGAATGCTTAAAACAAAGAATTACATAAGAAAAGGTGATAGAAGGAAAAAACAAAGAATAACATAAGTATAGAAGGAAGAAACAAAGAATAACATAAGTAAAGACAGAAAGAGCAAATGATAGAATGATAAAAACAAAGAATTACATAAAAGGTGATAGAAGGAAAAAACAAGGCATAAGATAAGAATAGAAGGAAGAAACAAAGAATAACAAAGGAAAAGGTAATAGAAGGAAAAAACAACGAATAACATAAAAATAGAAGGAAGAAACTTAGAATAACATAAGGAAAGACAGAAAGAGAATGTGAAAAAAGGAAGGAACAAAGAATGACATAAGGAAGAACAGAAAGAGAAAGTGATAGAATGATTAAAACAAAGAATAACATAAGAGAAGGTGAAAGAAGGAAGAACCAAAGAATAACATAAGGAAAGATAGAAAGAGAAAGTAACAGAATGATTAAAACAAAGAATAACATAAGAGAAAGTGATAGAATTATAAAAACAAAGAATAACATAAGAGAAGATGATAGAAGGAAGAAACAAAGAATAACATAAGGAAAGACAGAAAGAGAAATTGATAGAATGCTTAAAACAAAGAATTACATAAGAAAAGGTGATAGAAGGAAGAAACAAAGAATAACATATGGAAAGACAGAAAGAGCAAATGATAGAATGATAAAAACAAAGAATAACATAAGAAAAGGTGATAGAAGGAAAAAAAAACAAAGAATAACATAAGAATAGAAGGAAGAAACAAAGAATAACATAAGGAAAGACAGAAAGAGAAAATGATAGAAGGAAAAACAAAGAATAACATAACGGAACAGGCCACGATGGTATAGTGAACGCAAATTGCATGCAAAGCGGGCGCGCGGTTTTTCCCAAACCGGAAGAGGCTTCGTCATACAATCATGATTGAGAACTCCGTCCGTTCAATCGAATTTTAGCGACCGTGATTCTTTTGAATCATGATACAAAACGCATCTTTTTCAGCGTTTCATGTTTGTGTTTTCAAACACGTTTATTTTTACGACCGACGAAAAAATCGCTTGAACGCATTGCGTTTTAAACTAAACGTCTTTAGAAACCGTGATTCTAGGGTGAAAAAGTGTCGATTAAACGCACCCTTAGTGACCACCTGTCTACCGAGGTCACATTTTTTGTTCCCCTTGAAACTGGTTTCTCATTGAAACGGAACCTGTACATACAGGTGTACATGTAAAGACCATCTGCCTTTAAAGACCACTTCTCTTTTCCCCCTTTGGTGGTCTTTAAAGACAGGTTTCACTGTATTAGCATTTGTTCAGAACTTCAAAGCCAGAAGGGCGTTAACTCTGATTAAAATATGTGACTTCATGCCTTTACGGCTCCAAATAGACATGGTGAGATAATGTCATATTGAATGGTTCAAAACGTGATGAGTGGCAGAGTATGTTATTAACTTTTCTCTTTCTTTTTCTTTTTCTCAGGGGACAAAGATAGCAGTAAAATCACATCGGTCACAGCAACAAAAGGGCCTCCGCCTGATAGGGCGGAAGAAATCTCCTACACAGACACAAGAGTTATAGGCAATGGCTCGTTTGGTGTGGTATATCAGGCCAGGATGGTCGATTCCAGTGATCTGGTGGCAATAAAGAAAGTATTACAAGACAAGAGATTCAAGGTCAGTTTCAGAGTAAATAGCACAGTGCCCAGTAGATTACCTTGAGGTATCATACAAATTGACATCAAAGGTTAGCAAATAATAATACCCTTTGGATGGTCATTCATAGCGATCTGCTGGCAAGGAGGAAAATATTACAAGACTTAACATTTAAGGCCAGTTTTAAAGAAAAATAGAGTGCCTAGTTGGTTACCTTGAGGTATTACATACATTGTTAAATAGTTAAATAATAAGACTCTTTGAATTGTCAGTCACAGTGGTCTGCTGGAAATTAAACAAAAGTATGACAAGACAAGGGATTCAAGGTCAGTTTTATTCAAAAAAAATAGTACAGTGCCTAGAATGTAACCTTGTGGTATCCAGTGGTATCAATGATCACAAATAAATAATAGTCAGTTTCAGAGTAAATTGTAATCCCTAATAAGGTACCTTGAGGTATATAAGTGTCCAAGGGAATAGTAGGTTAGATAATGATACCTCTTTCCCATTTGATAGTCAATACTATTGATTGCCTAGCAATTAAGGAAGCACATGCATTAGCAGAAAAATGTGTTCAAGGTTAGTTCTTTAGTATAGGCTAGAACTTTGACGTAGTCGATGCCCCCTTCCCATGTTATCACAAGTCCTTATTTTATTACTTGTAATGTTTATATATGCAAATACCATCTTGCTCTTTGTTAAAGGTAAAGACCAGTATTGGAAATGCCCCAATTTCAAAAAAATCAAATGGAAGCTCTCATTACCAATCATGTGAAAGAATATGTTTTGACTAATACATGATGATAAAAAATTTGCCGGGAAACCGCCTACTAATTCATATATTTGGTAAATTTGTTTCTCTCATGGTCTGTGAGAGATATAGGGTAGTCCCATATACATCTTTCTGTGTATAGTGCTTGTAACTTTACAAAGAAAGGGCCAAATTTCTTATCATTTTGATGATTCCAGAACCTTGCAGATGCTAGATGCTAGATGATCAACCTTTTCTGATCGATTCCACAACGTTTCTTTCACAATGCAATCACATGACCATAACTGGTCTTTACCTTTAAGAAATGATTTGATATGCCTGACATGGCAACAGATGTATGTGTAATATGAATAATCTAGTTGTGTAATATTAATATGATATTTTCTCCTTTTTCCTCACCCTCTTTGTCCATCTATAGAATCGAGAACTTCAGATCATGAGGAGACTAGATCATCACAATATAGTAAAGCTCAAGTACTTCTTTTATTCTAGTGGCGAAAAGGTAAGTTTCCCTATCACTACCAAGCTTTCATGTGATAAAGTTATAAGCACCGATTTACATCAAGGAATCTTGCGTAGGAATTGATCGCAGAGCAAGCTGCTTTGTTGTTGTCCAAATTAACAAGAATAGGAGTATATAAAAGTGAATTCAATTTGGACGTTCAATTTTTTGGTAAATTCTTTATCTCAGATAGTGAAAGGGGGAAGTTAGGTTTGTCTTTTTGTTATTGTTTTGTGTTTAATATGGGAGGCTGAGACATGAATATGCATGAGCAAGCAGCTTGGCAACTGCAGCTCTGCATTAAACATGTTCATACATGTATGCAGAGCTTTGTAGAGCTTTGTATGGCTTTGTAAGTTTAATTTGGGTGTTTCCATTAATACTGAGCATGAATAATCACTAGCAAAAAAGCCCACCACAGAACTGTCACATGAAAATGCCTCTGTGTAGAAAATGAATAGGAAAAAAGTGGGTCAGATCAAAGTGTGTCGGGTAGGTCAGAAAGAAGTGTTACAGTAAATGGAAACACCCGTTTAATTTGAGCATATTGTAAGATAATACTACTTCCGTACATCCATTGGACAGTGAGCCAAAGAATTTGAATTGGGAAACAAACATCGCCCCCCCCCCCCCCCCCCCACACAAAAAAAAAAAAAAAAAAAAAAAAAAGGTCCAATAATTTAAAAAGGCACACGAGTTGAATAAAATGGTCAAAGTATTGACAAGCATGCATTCACTTGCATCGTTATCTATGATACTAGGCCTTCAGGTGTGATCTCAATTACATTCATAATTTTCCTTCTCTGATCATTCAAATTTTAACTATACAGTAAACATTGCCCCAAGTATTCAGGCAATTGTCTCCTAATTACCCACTCTCTGCTTCCACAGTCATTGCTTCCAAGTTCAAATGATTTTTTGTTTTGTTTTTATTCAATCGCCTGGGGTATCATTTTGTTTTGGACATACCATTGGTGAATGACTCAAAGGCACCATTGTTGTTTCACCTGCACTAATTAATTTATGCTCAGTCAATGACGTACTTTGATTCCATTCCCTGTAGCGACATCCACAGAATTCATCAATTTGCTACAAAACTGAAGAAATTTACGTCACTTAACCCTCTTTTATTCAATAAATTATGTTGACTTGAATGCATTGCCATGGAGACTGATAGTGATCAATTGATGGGAGAATAAATGCAGACTTTTAAATAATTTTACGGTCATTATTTCAGGAGAGATGTTCTATAATGTGTTCATGCTTATTAATCAATACTGTCAAAATAGAATATTCTACTTTCTAATGCAAGTAAATTTAGTGACATCTTGATGTACGATATAAAAATGTCATTTTAGGGTTAGTTCTCCTCCCCCCTACTGTTGAAGCAATTGTAATTACAAGCTTGATGCTACAAAATATTGATTATGGGATTTTTATATATTTCTTTGTTCTTCCTACTGTTGGCTACTCTTGCATCGATCTTTGTTCATGAATACATCAACCTGTGAAAGAAAATGAATACTTGTGTTCATTTCAAATGTTTCTTGTTATTCACTGTTGTCTTTGTAAGAAGCCTTGAGTATCCCCAATTCCCCATCAGTACGATATAAATGTAGTTCATTTATTGTTCAGTTATTAGTTTCTGTTTTATCTACAATTGATGATGTCTCTTCTGTTCTTTTCTCCGCTTTGCAGAAAGATGAAGTGTTTCTAAACTTGGTCCTAGAATATGTACCAGAAACTGTGTACAGAGTAGCCAGGCATTACAGCAAGGCAAAACAAACCATAGCTAATCTCTATGTCAAGGTAAGTGGAATTCATTCAAAATTCAAAATCAGCGGTGTTCATGTAGCAAGACAGTTAACAACTGCTTAAATTCAAAATCTCAACTCAACAGTGTGTTTTTCTTGTAGGTTAATTTTTTCACGACAATAAACTATCGTTTATTAATTCAGAATATCACTTCTGTGTGTTAGAAAGACTTTACAATTATTCTTGTATTTTGTACAAATGTATAATTTTTATCAACTTTGTAAAGAAGTGGAAGTTGGAAATTTTCAATCCTTTTTCAAGATTTTTTAATGGTGGCTACTTCTTTAGCCTAAATCTAATTGGCAATGTCTGAGACCCGAATATTGCAGAACCTACCTACATCTACTTGTACAGTACATACAGTATATGTTCTAGCTTGCATTAGAGCAACATCCCGCTGTGCACTTCCATTAGTCAAAGACCAGAGGCCCGTTTCACAAAGCCTTTTTTCAATGACAAATGACAAAAATCAGTGACAAATCTGCTGATAACCAATCAGAAGCAAGGATTTCTGTAGCTTATAACAAAAACTGTCATTTGTCATTGAAGACAAGTTTTGTGAACGCCCCCCAGTATGTCCGATAGGGATATCTATATATGTATTGCTAGTGCTGTCCATTACAATGAACCTTGTGCAGATTCTTTGCATGTTGAGATTAACGTTATTCACATTTAGGGCTTTAAAATGAAGCTCTCTCCCAATAAAATGAGAGAGCATTGTTTCATACAGTATAATGAATGAGCATGCATTCCTATTTTTTCTTGGGGGGGGGGGTGGTAGGGAAGATGATAAATCATGTAATGTACATGTATCATAATTGTATTTTGCTTGAATGACTATAATCCCTCTCTAATTGTGCTCATTTCGTACAGAAGAAATGAGCATGCATTCCTATTTCTTCTTGAGAGAGAGAGAGAGAGGGGGGGGGGGGGGTGTAGGGAAGATGATTTAGATCATGTGATGTACATGTATCATAATCGTATTTTGCTTGAATGACTATAATCTCTTTTATCATTGTGCTATTGAAAGAACAGTTTGCGACACACCAGTGGCACTTTCATGAATGTAACAGAGGCGCTTGTGTGTATATGAGAGAGAGAGAGAGACAGACAGAGAGAGAGAGAGAGATAAAGAGAGAGAGAGATTACATCTGATGTTTGCACAACAGTTTGCAGCTCTGACATGAATAGAAAGATAACATTATGAAATGATATCAGATTTGGTTGTGGTGATCTATTGCTCTGCAGATGGAGCCATAAATCTTGAGCTCTAGGCGTAATTGTCAAAACATGGAAAGATTACATAAACATTTGCCACCTGTAATATAAACATGTGTCTATGCTCTCTCGCTCTCTCTCTCTCTCTCTCTCTCTCTCTCCTATTATTGCTCTCTTCCTCTCTTTACCTCATTTCTCTCTCTTTCTCTCTCTCTTTTGTGTAGAGTTGCAATTGGTATCTATCTGAATTCTTAAGTTAAGTTGTGATCAATTCAATGTAATTTTAACTGTCAGTAAAATAGCCCTGATATGTTCTGTTATACTTTAAATACACTTTTCTCCATTCTCCCCTCCCTCTCTCTCTCTCTCTCTCTCTCTCTCTCTCTCTCTATGTCACCTCCTTACTCCTGCTTAAGTTTTCACATGTATCAATTATAAAACAATATTTTTGTTCTCTCTCTCTCTCTCTCTCTTCCTTGGCAGTTGTACATGTACCAATTATTCCGGAGTTTAGCCTACATCCATTCAATGGGCATTTGTCATAGGGACATCAAACCACAGAATCTCCTCCTCAACCCAGAGACAGCGGTCCTCAAGCTCTGTGACTTTGGAAGGTACGTTGTTATTATTATCAAATATTTGGCGTCACCTGCGCCTGGTAGGTCCAGCACAACTAACTCCCTCTCCCACTCCCGTAGTATAGCACTCACATTAAAGATAAACTTGAGTTCTGGTAAAAAAAAGAAAATTAATTCTCACAGAATCAAACAAAACTTACACTGAATGTTCAAGATTACAAATAAATGACATGTGCCAAACAATTTTGGAAGAAAATGTATACTGGCTGAGTAATGAGCATAGAAAGAGAAGGAAATCATGGTAGTACCAGCCCGACACCATGTGTGTTGTCCCGTATATAGCTTTCTGTGTACAGCGCTTGTTACTTTACCAAGACTCGGTCAAATTTATTATGATTTTGATGAATCCAGAACCTTGCAGTGCACACCAATACTTACATGCTACATGATCAGCTGTTTCTGATCCTTTCCACACCTTTTCTTTCAAAATGCAATCGCATTACCAGTACTAAAGTTTTATCTTTAAGAGCAGTCATAAAGTCTTCTCCAGTGGGGGCACATCATTTGCCTGTACACTTCTCATTCAGCACATTTTTTAAATTTTTTTTTTACAAAGCCAAGTTGTGAAGGGAATAAAAAAGAAACAATTATTTTCAGCTTAATGCTTGTATTGAAGATATCCCAAAATACTGATGACTGATCGGCAATCCAATTGCAATTTTGTTTGTGTTGGATATTATGACCATTAAAGTCTGTTGTCCACGTGCTAAAGCTATTAACAATGCAGATAAAGAAGTACAGCAGATAAAGAAGGTTGGGGGGGGGAGGGGTTGTAAAACTGGTGCAAATTATTCTTTTGATAAGCTCTTCAAATATGGTAGTAATTTGCTTGAAAATAGTAGTTGTGTAGCTACTTTTAACAGCAAATTATATACAATTTAGTATTTTTCATTTGTAGTTGAAACGATAGGTATTTAATACACTTGGACTAATCATACTTAATTTCCCCCTTTTTGTTAACTACAGTGCAAAGGTGCTTGTGAGAGGAGAGCCCAACGTATCTTATATCTGTTCACGGTACTACCGAGCACCGGAGCTTATATTTGGTGCTACAGACTACACATGCGATATAGGTGAGTACATAGCATGTTGAAAGACATAGTTGTAACACAGGTAGGTGAGTACACAGCGTATTGAATGGACATAGTTGCAACACGCGCATACAAGCGTATGCAGCAAGGTCATAGGTCAAATGATGGAGCTCCAAATAGTTCCCTTCCATGTAAACAAAAACCGAGGTTGTTTACAACATTCTCTTGAAAGTAAATACAAATTTTGTGCCCATGAACAAAAAAATATCATCTGAAACATGAAACAGTGTATTTTTTTTGTCACTGACATGAATCAATGTCTATTCAGTATATGTTCTTCCATTTAGCATTGAACCTGATTTTATTGTATTTAGTTTTCAGGAATATAAAAGAGTATAACATTCACAAAAATCGAAGAAAATGCAGTTAATCAATAATAACAATAACAAAATAAAAGAAACCATTCAAAAATGCCTGAATATCACTGAAAAAGTTTGACCCTACCTTAAACAAGGCACACAGTATGTGTGAAGATTCAACTCATGCTGGATTATACATGTGACAGTGGGCAGCTAATTAGGGGATATATGCGGCTTCTATTTGATATGTCGACTTAATCCAGATTATCCTGTGAATCCTTCATACATTAGCCATTTCCTGACCGGATGACCTGGAAAATATCCCGTGTCAGAATGCAGGGCCTTAGCAATATGGTTGTCATTATAGATATGGGGGGTGTTTCACAAAGATCCTAAGTTTGACTTAACAATTATGGAAAGCCATTAGCATCCTTGAAAATATTTTGTAAAAGTTATTTTGAAAGGCATAAAATGTTGATTCAAATCGTTCATATATTCTATCATCAAGGAGATTTCATGCTCTTGATGTGGAAATTATAAAAAGCCTAAAATACTTGAATTTTTGCTTTTGAATATATTTCAAAATAAGGCTACAAATGGCTCTCCATAATATTTAAGACCAACTTAGAGTTATCGAAATCTTTGTGAAATACCCACATTTTACTATATATGACTCTTCCATTTGGCATGATTCCTAAAACAGTGTCACTTGGAAATTGATGTGGTTAGCCCCTTTCAAAGTTTGGATGGTGTTGACCCAGACCTAATTCCGTTTTGAAATCTTGAAAATGTCTAATCCATGTATTTCCAGAATTCCAAATATGGTTTGATAGTTCAGGGGGGTGTTTCACAAAACTTGTCATCAGTGACAAATGACAGTTGTTGTTGTAAGCTAGTGAAATCCTTGCTTCTGATTGGTTATCAGCAGATTTGTTACCGACTGGTATTTGTCATTTGTCATTGAAAAAAGGCTTTGTGAAACGGGTCCCAGTTCTATTTTTTTTCTTTTTCTTGAGTCGAAGTCTGCACAGTTTTTTGTGAACTAAGCAGTAATACAAATGTGTTGGACTAGAATAACTTGAGAGAAATAGGAGCAGTTAAGTTGAATTAGCCTCCCGTAAAAGGATGAACCAGTTACATAACATACAGACCAATTAATGGGACTACACTAACATCAATATGAATAGAAGGGACTAGAGTAAAATAAATTGACTCCACCCTGTCTGTGTGTGTGTCTGTCTGTGCTACAGATGTGCAGTCAGCAGGATGTGCACTGGCTAAACTGTTATAAGGCCAGTCCATCTTTCCCTTGGTAAAGGTCTAGACTATCATTGAACAATTTGTAATTTATAACATCAAAACCAAGAGGCGGGACTTCACTAACACAAAAACACATAGGTGGAACATTTACTCCACATTTCCTTGTTTCCTGTAGACGGATGATCAGGGCTGTTTCCAAGCCAACTCCATCCGTCAAAAGTAAGAAATAATTTCATTACAAGGACCCGTTTCACAAAGCCTTTTTTCAATGACAAATGACAAAAATCAGTGACAAATCTGTTGATAACCAATCATAAGCAAGGATTTCAGTAGCTTATAACTAAATCTGTCATTCGTCACTGATGACAAGTTTTGTGAAACGCCCCCCAGGACCAATGGAAGAGACGATGGGACTATACTGAAGAAACCAGGAAAAACACATTTTCACTGTTAAAGGCCAGTTTTGAAGAAAAATAGAGTGCCTAGTAGGTTTCCTTGAGGTATCACATACATTGGCATTAAGTGTAACCCTTCTAATTTCCCCCCCATGATTTTGTACCTTAGATGTCTGGTCAGCAGGATGCGTGCTGGCTGAGCTGTTACTAGGCCAGCCCATCTTCCCCGGGGACAGCGGGGTAGACCAGCTGGTGGAGATCATCAAGGTCCTAGGAACCCCAAGCCGTGATCAGATCAAGGAGATGAACCCCAACTACACAGAATTCAAGTTCCCTCAGATCAAGCCCCATCCCTGGAATAAGGTAAGAGGAGTCCTTACGTGGTAGTGATACTTCGCAAATTGGCAACCCCTCTCTCATTTTTTTGTGATATGAATCCTTACATTGTAGCGGTTACAGAATAAACTTTCCTTCGCAAATTGGCAACCCCTCTGCCATTTTTCTGTTATTGACAAACACTAACAACAACCCGTGTTTTTGTGGTAAGAGGAGTCCTTACATAGTAGCGATTAAGGAAGAAACTGCCCTTCGCAAATTGGCAACTCGGTTATTTCACTTTTATTGTTCAAAACTAATGAAAAACCTGTTGAAGGCAGAAAATCTGGATCTCAAAATTAACATTTTTTGAGAGATGATTACTGCAGGCCCCGAACATATTTTGAAGAGTGAAGTTGTTATATTTGATTACACTATGAATATGACAGACAAAGAAAGCGGACAAAATATACAGTTCCTCAGGTAGACAAAGGAACATCCCTTCACTGCTATTATGTAAAAAGGTGAATATGCATGTGACACCTGTTCTACACAATCATGTTTACATAATAGCAGTAAAGGGATGTTCCTTTGTCTACCTGAGGAACTGTTTATTTTGTCCGCTTTCTTTGTCAGTCATATTCATAGTGTCAGTAAGGCTTCCCCTTCGCAACGATATGAATTTTGTATCAATTCAAAACACTTTTGAACCTTCGGGTGACTACTTTAATAGATAGCTTTGACTCTACTGCCATGCAATACAATTTGTCTAATCTTCAAACTTCTTTCGCCCCGTCCGTGTAGGTATTCCGAGCGCGGACTCCCGCCGATGCCATCCAGCTGTGCAGCAGACTGCTGGAGTACACCCCTAAGTCCCGTATCAAACCCCTGGAAGCGTGCGCCCATCAGTTCTTCAGCGAGCTACGGGAACCCGGCACCAAGCTACCCAACGGCAGGGAACTCCCTCCTCTATTCAACTTCTCCGCGAGTGGTAAGTGCTGTTTACTATCACTCAACTTGTCCAGGGGTAGTGTTCACAAAGATCCTAAGTCGAACTTAACTCTAAAGTTGGACTTATAAATTATGGAGAGCCATTTGTAGCCTTAAAATTAAATATTACCAAGAGCAAAAATTAAAGTATTTTAGACTTTTCATAAATTCAACATCAAGAACCTAAAATCTGCTTGATAATGGAAAATAATCAACATTTTATGCGTCTTGAAATAACTTTAACAAAATATTATCAATGATGCTTACAGCTTTCCATAGTTGTTAAGTTCAGCTGAGAATCTTGTGGAAAAAAAAACCTGATCCTTTTGAAACAAGCACTCCACATTTCTTCGTTAGGCTCAGTAATTTTGTACGCAGCCTGATCCCAGTTTAGAATCTTAAGTTTCTCATCGTCTTATCCTGTCAACAGAACTTTGCAAGTAAGGTGAGGTAAATGGGTACCCGGTAGGCAGAAATTCCTTGAATGCATGAGCACTTTTTCATGGTAGCTCTGTTAAAGCCAGGGCAATGATACGATTGCAGAGCCCTTTGAGAGAACAGTATGCATACTGATGAGGCTACCCTGGGTAAACAAGACATATTATTATTATTATTTTTATGCACGGCCCTGATCCATGTTTAGACTCTAACGTTCTCATCGTTTTATCCTCCTACACAGAACTTGTGAGTAAGCCGTCGTTACGCACAGTCCTGATCCCGCCTCATGCCAGCCACAGCCAGAATTCATCCAGCACCACAGTCCCACACGATGCGCCCGAGACATCCACCAGCGCCACGGCATCATCAGCGACCTGAGGCACCAGCAGCAAGTGACCCCACGGCAAGCCATAGCCGCGTTGCCAAAGGTCACCGAGAACTATCACACTAATTATTATTGGAGGAGACGAGCGAGGAGTATTTAGTAAACAGCATGCAGAAAAAAAAATGAGTATTTATTCATCACCAACTTGTAGTGGTACGATTACGTCGTAGAAGATCTTCTTGTAAGCGCGAGAACCTCGGGACAAGACATTCGCTGGTTGGAATACAGGATGGCCCTGACAAGATCGAGGGCGCAGAGTGGTTTCCTGTACAGGCATCTCCACACTCGCTGGTTAACATCCAGAGAAGGCACAGATCGTACATCCGCATCCAGAACTGAATGAGAGGGCAAGCGACTGATCTTCAAATGGTTTCCAGATGCAACAGCTCACATTTATCAGTAGACCGGGGCTCTTTTGAAGCTTCGGAATCTAGTCACGCGACTTTGGAGAGCCGTCACCAGAATGTTCAACCAGCTGCAATGTTGGCTATATACAGAGTTACATTTCAACCAGCCAGTTCTTGGTCCAATGAGTTCCAAGTCCTGGTCCTGGTCCAAACACAGAGATCGAGATTGAATTCCGTATTGGCTGGTAGCCTAGACATGCAGAATTTAGAACCAACTTTTCTCAACGCAGGAATTGTAGTTACTGTGATGTCTTTGCATGTCATCTAGGAATCTTATTATGATGATGATGATAGGTTATCAGAATATTAAGAAAAAATCAAAAATATTAACAACATCACCTCTATGATGGTGAGTTTGTTTGTACAGAAGTTTTAAAAAACTGCCAGATGTATCGCGATGTCTACAATTCTCTGTGGTTTGACAACAATGGGATGAACCTGCTGCAGAAGAAATAACTTGCGTCCCGATAGGGCGCTACTCCTTGAGATCCCGCCATGTTTGTCCTTCTCTCCTCTGGTGTCATTCAAGATGTGTTAACCTGAGCTAGACATTATTGAGGAGTCGCCAAGGTCGGAGCCAGAAGGGCATTCACCCCTGTACAAAGTCTATTACCCAGTGCCCTTCTCGCTCTGCAGCCCTTAGATGTGCCCTTCTAGCCCGGGTCGGATACCCAGAGGGGGAGCTTTTCGCTAGCTACAATTTGTATTTTCTCTCTCTCCCAATTCAAATACCTCGGAATTAAAAACAAACATGGCGGGGTTCTCGCGCGTGAATATCTCCCCGAGTTCCACGACTGTTTTTCGGTCGACGGACACAGTCTTTTGAGGGAGAATTGTAATGATTAGAACCTGTTAGTACTTGTGCTTAGTCCAGTGTCCCCCTATTAGTATAAAGACTCATTTTAGTGTGGCCTAAATGAATATTGTGTACAGATAACTAGTGGTATGTCTTTGGCTACGGATGTTCTCTCTTTCTTCACATCATTAGTGACACCAAGTGCCCACTCTTTCCTGATTGCGTCGTTCAGTGTCAGTCGAGGTTTCTTTTACCGGTAACTTAGTAGATTGCATCCTTACGAAGTGAATTGCATGCAAGGAATATAGGTATTTGTTGGACTTAATCTGATAATTGCTCAGGAGGGCATTACTTAAAATGCTCGTAGGGAGAAACAATTATTACTGCCACGTTTTTGTTCATTATTACTTGTTGTGGTGTCTCGCGCAAGGCTCCGTTCACAGGTTGCACTCTCCGCTGCATCATACTCGCTAAGCACCACTGAATGTTTATATGACATGCCACTTCAATATGCATATGCTCAGGTACAGTGTTGTGAATTTAAATCTGCAGTGGTGCTCGATGTGGATGATGCAGTAGATCTCGCAATATGTGAGCGGATTTTAGCTCAACCAAGCCGCGACTGTAATGTGGCTTCACCTTGTAAAAAATGACCTACACCGAAAACCTGCAACTATATTTAGCAAGTGGTTTCATGGCGCTCTGATTTCCAGCAAGAATTATAATTATTATATTTGATTTTATATTGATTTTGAGAGCTGGTGATGTGTGAAACCGAGAGAGAGAGAGAGAGAGAGAGAGAGCCAGGGACATACCCAAACGTCAATTAAACAATGTAAACAAAGACAGCTTATCAGATGGTTTGCTTAATATAGGCACAGAGATGGTTAATGTGATATATATGATGTACATGTACAGTTTTATAACGTCCCGTCTTCGCGGAGCATGGTGGGGACGGGACCCTTGTGTATAGACTTTAACAAATAAATTAATTCATTTTGATTCTCGCAAAAAGACGAGACGTCTCACACGATTCATGTCACATGCACCGATGAATACGTTAGAGAATGATAACAGAACTAGCTAGCTAATGAATTAGTACCGATAGTCAATTTCTTTTGTTTTTTTCCTTTTTGTTGTGTGTTTTTTTTATACCAGAATACGTTGTCCTATAATTTATGTTAATCGTCGTTAGATTGCTGAGCGTCGAGCGCGGACGGACGTTTCCGTTCTGCTCGACGCGTAGTTCAGATGAGATAACTTATTTAGCATTTACTTATGTATCTTACGTTTGTTTCGATGTTTATTGGTATCGTTTTAAATCTGTTTTCCGGAGGAGCCCTGTAGCATTACTTCTCTTTTTTTTTATTTGGACATGCTCCTTGCGTAAACGATTGCAATATGTAAATGTCCCGATGAAGGAGACGGAGTAAGGCGTGTAATTATTATATGCGATGATTTCGAGAAATACTTGCATAGAAATGGAATTTTAAATCTGTGAATGCTTTTACTGTGATATACTTGTTATTTTATTCAAAATTACTGTAGAATTCAATCAGTTTTTTAAGGATTCATTATACGCAGAAGGATTAAGTAGTAGACATTTGTAGCCTTTGTGACAATTTAATATTATATACGGAAAGCCCAACCATGTTCCTTTATAATCAAGGGGGTCTTTTCTTTCTTTCTACTTTTAGGAGACCTGTTAACCCTGGGTTTTTTTTCTCACTCACAATATTGCATGGCTTTCAACAACAAAAATCTAGTAGACCCGATAGATAGATCAGTTACTACATCACAAAATAATGGTATGCATGTAGAATTGATGGTAAGGAAGTTAAATAGTCCTTGTGATGAAAAATTCTACCCCTCCAAAAGAAATTACCTGTTGCTCATTAAAAAAAGATAGAAACCAAAATAATTTCAGTATCATACTTAAGAAATACAAGCTTTACATTTGAGCAGGGCTGATATATCTTCTGCTGTGATCCAGAGTGGTGTTAACTTTAATGACTTTGGTCGCCCCCCCAAAACGCCGGCCAAAAAAAAAGAGAGAGAAAGAGAAGAAAAAAAGTAAGAGGACGTAGGAAGACTTAATAAAAGATTAATGACTTTCTGGCTCTCGAGTCTCGATAGACTATATTTCAGCTTAAGTTTCAGCATAATGTACCATAATAATTCATACCACCATGCAGCACTCGGTCAAAATGGAGAGAGGGTGGAAGTGGAAACGGTGGTTCACAGTCCCTCTCTTGTTTGTTTTTAGATCTTTGTAAGTTGTTCATTCTTTGATAGAGATATGGTTTGTGAAGTACTAGATGAGGAGGGGGGAGGTTAAGGGTTAACAAAAAAACATTACATTTAGGCATATATGCATAATCTATCATAAACCACCCGCATGGCATTTAAGTGAGAGAAAAAATAGGTTACCGAGCAAATCCTCTTTACTCTTTATAAGCATAATTGGGGGGGGGGGGAACTGCTCAATTAATCTTCATGATGGATAATAAGACCAATATTTGTTTAAGGACCAAATGTTTTGCAAAGCATGATGGGACACAACTTTATTTGAAACAAAGCGCATGATTTCACATCCTACCTGATGGTAGCAACCCTTTCCCCTGCCGATCCATAACGATACCCCTCCCTCCCTCCCTTTATGCAGGAGAATAATAAATAAAGGGTTCCGTGTGTGTTTGTATTTAACAATCCTCTCAATCAATTTAATCAGATATCTACTATACTGTAATTCTCACAAGATTTTTCTCAATTATGATATTATTGTGTGCTCTTTGTGGTGAATTTGCCAAATTTGGAAATCGGAATTGCCGCAAAGAAGTAGGTGTTCATTAGCGGTGTTCACAAGGAGGCGGAAAAGCATGCACTTTACATTTATAAGTAGTGGTTTACGCTTCCCAGTTTAGGCATTCAGTCAACTAGAAAGCCTATTGTGTAACATCATAAGCTCCCCCTTATTAGGTCATAGGTGATAGGTCAGCAACGGTCAAGCGCTGTTGCCATTTTGAAAGAATATATTGATATATCTCTATTTGTACGCATGTGGAAGGAAATGACAATTTTGTTTTTTATTTGACCGAATTTGTGAAAACTAACAAAAAATTGACAAGAATTCTGCCAGGTTTTATTCCCCCTCACCGCTATTCCCTTGTAAATAAATGAACCAAGTTTTTCCCACTCGTATTTTTTTTCCTGTTATATTATGAAATTTGTATAAAGTTATGTAAAACTGGCAGAATTCTTGTACAGAATGCATTATTTGAACAAAGCAAAACACCGTTGAAATCCATCCGGTTTTCGTTTTTCAGCGGCGGATGGTAGAGTGTTTATGAGAAGCACTCGGCAAAACAAAACGAAAGCTTGCCTGTAGAGGGCAGGCTTCTAAGTATTCACCCGCAGATATTTATGAAGGCTGACTGGGCTTTTTAATTCACGAATACTTGAACGTAACGTAACGTAACGTAGTTCACCAGAACATCTCCAACTCTTCTTTTCTCTGACTATTCTTATCACGCATGTTAGATAAAGAGAGAGAAAGAGAGAGTGTGTGAGAGCGAGAGAAATTTAAAAAGTTCAAATATGCTGCTATTGTTGTTTTTTCCCTCGTGGCATTTTTTATTTCTGTTTCCATTAATCACATGGTATTTTAAACGAGTACTCACTGTTTTTTAAATTAGACGCTGTGCATATATAGTGGATGTTATGTTTTATTCTTTGAAGAAAAAAAATCACAGCGTTTTGTAAACTGCAATATGATTTTAATGATTTTGTTTATATCCAGTTAACGCAAACTACTGTGTATCAATCGTACCCACATGGGAAACTTCAATGAAACACACACATTGACATCTCTAACGTGTGTCGTAACATTTGCTTGTTTGCAACAGGTGGATTATTTTCATTTACAAAAACAAATATGTTCTGTTTTTATTACGTCAAGTTTCGCTCATACCCGCAAGATTAACTTGGCTATGAGTGCCGGTTGACTCTTCCCCCTCTGATAACCTTTATTTTTTTTATTAAATCCTTCTTTATTATTTTTTGTTTGTTATCTTCAGAAGGGTTGTGTAGACTTAATTTGATTTCCGGGGACAGAATTGTAAACCTATCTACATCATGTAAATATTATTGTATGATGAATGTGATACATTTTGTTGTTTACAAACTGATGATGCCTTTGGCTATTTTGTTACATTTGACTCTTGTGTTTTTGATGGGAGCAATGGATAAGATAGAAAAAGAGAGAGATGGAGAGAGGTAGGCAGAGAGAGAGAGAGAGAGAGATGAAGAGAGGGATAAAGATATAGAGAAAGAGAGGTAAAGAGTGAGATATAGATACAGAGAGAGTTAGAAGAGAATGGTCAATGTGATACATTTTGTTCTTTACAAAGTGATGATGCATTATGCATATACTTTCTTTGTTACTTTTAATTTGGTGTTCTAAAGGGGAAGAAATAGTTGAGGATGACGTAGGAAGAGAGAGAGAGAGAAAGTTATTAGGCAAAGGAAAGAGAAAGAGAAAGAGAGAGATTGCAGAAACGAGACAAAGAGAGTAAAGGAGTGAGAGATAGAGAATGCACCAAAGGAGGTGGAGATGGGTGACCAAAGTTTTTTTTAAAGGAAAAGAGAAAGGATATAGTGAGTGAAAGGAAGGGAAGGTACTGGGACAGATACCAAGAAAAAAAGAGATGGAAGGAATGTGGATAAAGAGAAGAGGAAATGTACTTTGAAAATATACAGGTGATAAAAGAATATATAACTTAGTAAAGTGTAGCATAAATTAATTCTTCACAGGAAAATGACGATCAGATCGGAGCACAGATTCATTTGAAACAGTACTGTTGTGAGCGTGTTGAAATGAAGAATGACACAAAACTAGGAAAATGAACAAGATTATTGCCATTTAACTGACAAGAGATGGCGCTATTTCACTCAAATCGCGACAACTTTGTCGCCTCTCTTTTTCTGTCCATCGCCTGACCGCATGCGTGTTACCAAAATGTCCTGTAAAGGGGTACTTTTCATGCACCAAAGTCCGGCTCGTACATACCACAGAACTCTTGACTTTACAAACCGGACTTAGGGGGTATTTTCAAAAGGAGGGAACACGCACATGCGTACCCTAAATAACACTGAGTGGCCCCCCCCCTTCTTCTGTTACCTCTCTCTCCCCAGTCTACACCCCCCTCTCTTTCTCTCTCTCTCTCTCTCTCTCTCTCTCTCTCTCTTTCTCCCCTCTCTCTCTCTCTCTCTCTCTCTCTCCGTTTCTCTCTCTCTCTCTCACTCCCCATTTTTCTATCTGTTCTTCGGATAGGAAATTTGGTTTTACATGTGTGGAGACATTTCCTCTTTCCGATTTATGGCTAACATAATGATTATAAAAAAAATGTAATGCAATTATTTCGGTGAATATAAGTAGGGGTTGATGTGCTTAGTTGCCACCTCCTCTCCCTCTCCGTACCCATCCCTCACTTAATTGTACTTGTCTTTCACATTCTTTGCTCTCTCTCTCTCTCTCCTTCTCTCTCACTCTCTCTCTCTCTCTCTCTCTCTCTCCACATTTTGTATTTATATCCATTTTTCATTTTCTTCTCCTTCACCCCATGTTCAGTTTTCTCAGTTTTGTTGCTCTCTTTTGTTGTCCCCCTCTCTCAGTCTTTTGTTTTAAAAATCTTCATATTAAACAAATACAAATATGACAAGAGTCTTTCATCTCAATCTATAGTTCTGGCCTGATTACAAATTATTATTCCAAACATTATATTTTCTTGTAAAGAATTTACCTTAATTATAATAATAATTGTTTGTATAGTTTAGCTATGAAACTTGATGATGAATATAGGCCTTTATCGAGGTCTTAATGATGTAGTGAGCACTAATTTTTTCTCTCGAAAATTTAAAAATCGCACCCCCCCCCCCCCCCCCTCGAGCACCAGGGGTAGGGGCCCGTCTCCAAATTAAGGTAACATTAACCTTTTTTTACCTGTGCTTTTTTCCCCAGGGGTGGGTGTCCTATCTCCGGTTTGAAAGTCAATGGCGGGCTGGACTTCGTTGCGCGAAAAATACCCCTTTACCGGAGATTTTGGAACACGAATGCGGTCCCTCCACCCCCGGAATCATTTTAATCGCCTGAGATTACAATTAGGTACGATGGACTTCAGAATCAAGATTGTTTCGCTCATAAATTTCATGGCATACGGTGAAACTGGTCAATATTCAGAAACATTTCAACAGAGGAGGCATATTCAGACCAAAAGAATAAAGATAACTTCAAATTTGAATTACAACAATCAGCTTTCAACTACGTACCATTTGCTACTGTTAGTTTAATTAAAGATGTCAACTCAGAAATTCGACATGTTTATATATTAGTGTCAAATAGTTTTGTTTATAAGCTTGGAGGTATCATATTTGTTTTGTTTTGTTGTACCCCATCGTTTTTCGACGGGATACTTTTTCAACATCTGTATTATCATAATATATAGGAATGTCTTTTGCATTATAATCTATACATTATAATCTATATATCAGTTCTAATTAAATCTAACATAATTTTGTTACTAGGCTTAGCGAAATCCTTTTTTGTCTTTCTTTTTTTAAACTTTGTAAAAAGTGTAAATAGTTCACTGGAAAAACTTTAGGAATTTTATTTGTCATATAGTATATATTTGAAAGGTGTTGTAACGATTCAAGCTCTATTTGCTTATGTTTCATCACCTTTGTGTGTTCATTCTTCAAACTGTATATTAGTTGCAACTTGTCTTTGATAAAACAATGTTATATTCTTTTTTCACGGGAAGTTAATTCAAATGGATTGTAAAATTGAAAATGATTTGTTATATTATATTAATTTTTCATGTGATGTTAACTTCAATGAATTATGAAATTGTGAACCTGCATGCATGCATGCATAAATAAATACAAGTTAGTGTCGGCCGTTTGGTTTTTCATATACTAATGAATAGACCAGTTAATTTATATTAGGGTTCTAGGGCCTATGCATACATCCCAAACAGAAGTTACTCGTGAGCAATAGACAGATTTACTACTTTCAAATTTTATGCATATTTATAAAACAGAGGTTATCTGATCTTCACAAACTGAAAGCTTGACCAAGGCTTGGCCGACAGCAACAAGTCATGTGTGTAGACTGGATTCCAAGTATTGTAGTTCATTCATTAATAACAGGTTGATGGAATAACTAGATCACTAGGAAAGAAACATCATGATACATTTGAATATATTTGTAAACCAATGTGACGACTTGAAAGTTTACCAAAGGCCTGCCCGACATTGTCAGAACTAATATGCAAGATTATTCCTTCTTTCATATGGTAGGCGAATATTCATATATAATTTGAATATTTGAGGACAGTCGTTTAGAGTTTTTTGTGCGAGTTTGGGTTTGTGTGAGACAAAGACAAAGAAAAGGAAGACTTTAGTGTAGTATAATTTATATAAAGTAACTGTAGCTACGTTTCCGTAATTTATTTAATATTAAGTCACACTTATTTGTCAGAATTAAAATGGCATACATAAACTTGTTGTTAATTAGGTTAATTGGGCAAACCGAGTTTGCATTCTTGCTATCGAAATACAACACTTCGTAAGAGGTTCATGAAATATTTGTCACCTGAAAACGTGAATACTTTAAATACATTACCAAGGAGGCCAATTATTCTAAGCTGCTCAATGTCTGTTGTTCTTTTTTAATATAATTTTTTATTGTCAGATTCTAATCCCAGGTGCTCGTAGAGAGCCCGAGAGAGCCGCATTCTTCAACCCTTAAGGTCACGGCAGTTTTTGAAGTGGTCTAGCGCCAGCTTCCGGTAGAGACAGGAGAGGTTTGATGATAAACGGAAGGATATTACTACTGCGACGACTGCTCCTGCTGCTACGCCTCCTCCTTCTCCTACTACTATTACTACTACTACTACTACTACTACTACTACTACTACTACTACTACTACTACTACTACTACTACTACTACTACTACTATGACGACTACGACTATTACTTCTGATACTACTACTTCTGATACTACTACTACTACTACTACTACTAATAATAATAATATATGAAGAAGAAGTAGAAAAAGAAAAAGAAGATAGAAAAGAAATAAATTTTCAAGAGAAAGGAGAAAAGATGAAAAGAAAAAGAAAGAAAGAAGGAAAATAAACGGGAAAGAAAAGAAGGAAAGAGAATCAAATGCAGAAAAGAAAAGGAGAATAAAGTAAAAGCAAGAATAAAAACAACCAAAGGAATGAAAGTAAAAGGAACAAAGAAAAAGACAGGTGTCGCAGTTGTATTATTTAAATACATTACCAAGGGGTTAATTATTCTAGGCTGCTCTAAGTCTGTTGTTTGTTTGTTTTTATAAGTTTTGATTAGCATATTCTTATCCCAGGTGGCCGTAAAGAGCCCGAGAGAGCCGCATTCTTCAACCCTTGAGGTCACGGTACGGTTTTGAAAAGGTCTAGCGCCAGCTTGCGGTAGAGACAAGAGAGGTTTGGTTTGATGGTTTGAAGAAAGGATACTTCTACTACGACTGTGCTACTATTTCTATGTCTACTACTACTACTACTACTCCTTCTATTCCCTCAATCTCGATGTACCCTTCGCTCGTCTCCTCAATACCGTTCCTTCTCCCTTCAGGTTCCTCTATCTCCTCCACTCCCTTCTCCCTGTTTTTCTCTGTCCCTCTCATCTTTCTCCCTCTCCTTTATCTATCCCTCTTTCACTCTCTACCATAATTTCTATCTCCCTTCTCTTACTTAAAGGTAAAGACCAGTTTTGGAAACGCCCCAATTTCAAAAAATGAAATGGAAGCTCTCATTACCAATCATGTGAAAGAATATGTTTTGACTAATACATGATGATAAAAAATTTGCAGGGAAACTGCCTACTAATTCATATATTTGGTAAATTTGTTTCTCTCATGGTCTGTGAGAGATATAGGGTAGTCCCATATACATCTTTCTGTGTATAGTGCTTGTAACTTTACGAAGAATGGGCCAAATTTCTTATCATTTTGATGATTCCAGAACCTTGCAGATGCTAGATGCTAGATGATCAACCTTTTCTGATCGATTCCACAACGTTTCTTTCACAATGCAATCGCATGACCATAACTGGTCTTTACCTTTAATGCTTCTATTCTCTCATTCGCCCATTGCATTATACTCAGTCGACTTACTCTACCCTTCTCATTTTTCTTCCTTCTTTATGTCAAAGGTCATGCACCACTTGGGCGTTCGAACTTGGGGGTGTCTGCAGCCCAGCCCAGTTTAAACTGGACTTACTTGGGACTAGGGCAAACTCGGCATCGCTTGGCGATTGAGGTTTCAAAAGTTGAAGTGCCGGCTACAACACTTGACCTCCAAAATAGTCATGAATTTCATATTTTGTAGAATTTTTACAACCGGTATTCAAAATCATTTAGAAAATCTTCATGCACAATGATAACACAACAATCTCATGTATTGTATGAATCTGTACTTTAATCATGAAAGGCAGTCGAACCCAATAAATGCGAGAATAAACTCAATAATACAAAGATATAATGAGTAAAAACACCATAAAACTGGTCACTTTTCAAAAGTTTGTCAAAGTAAGCAAGATAAATTCATACATGTCCCACTAGTACATTCAAGAATATACTCCAATTTGGTATATTTTGTCTGTTTCCCATTATCAAAACATTCCTATTATTTGCATCAATATTTTACATGCAGCAAGAAGTTAAAAATAACGGTGGCATTTTAGGTGTGACCTTCAAAAGGGGCATATTCTATTCAAGATGTTAAGCACATGGAGAAATAATTGGTAATTACTATGTAATATATAAATCAATTATCTTTATTAATATCAATATCCCAAGCAATTTTACAATTTTACAATTTTACAATTCAGTATTTTACTGGTGGGAAAATGAAAACTCAAAACCAACCAGAAATGTCACTAAATCAAGTTTTAAAGAAGATAATCAAAATGGTATCCTCATATCTTGTTTTTCTTACTCTGTTAGCCTTGCGTCCAAGATATGAGCAAGTACCAAACGAAAAATTGGCGCCAACTTAGTATCAAATATACAAAGATAAGGGATGTGATGTAATATGTATTATAAAGTAAATATTGCAAATAATATGAATAATTATGCTGATACAACAAGTTACAAGCATTCATCACAAGGGCTTAATGTACATGTATATGACATCAAATCACCCTCGTAACAACAAAAAAGTACTTTTTTTTAAGTAGAGGGAATTTAAAATGATTTTTCTGTGCGTACCAAAATATCAAATTATTGAGACACCATAGGAATCAAACCTGCCTGTGGCTCTTGATTCGATATTGAAAGATGATAATAATTAACTCTGTGAAAAGCCTACTGTAAGTGAATGCTAAAATTTACCCCCAAAATTACTTAAGACAACATAAACCATGATAAATCATTCCATGAAACAACAATGAATCACTTTTAAATAGTTAGCAAATATGTCAAGTAAAGGGTAATTTAAAAAATAAGAAGCAGAACAACAACAAAAATCTTGTTTTATTTTTAAAGGAGATAACACTATGAACATGACAGACAAAGAAAGCGGACAAAATATACAATTCCTCAGGTAGCTAAAGGAACATCCCTTCACTGCTATTATGTAAAAAGGTGAGTATGCATGTGACACCTGTTCTACACATTCTTACATAATAGCAGTGAAGGGATGTTCCTTTGTCTACATGAGGAACTGTATATTTTGTCCGCTTTCTTTGTCAGTCGTGTTCATAGTGTAAGGCATTTAAGATTGGCTTTTAAATAATGGAGTAGTACATCTGAATAATGTATTGAACCAATGTGAGTGACTGAATCGTTGGTCAGTTCCCGTTTTCTTAAAATTCTTTTAAATAAATCTCATAAAAACTTGAAAGCAATGGACCTGCCAATATTCAGCCCTTGCATTTTCTAAAAACCCATCATTAAATATCACAGATCTATCTCCCAAGACCTGCTGTCAAATTCTAACTAAAATATACACATGGCTAACATGAAACACATTGGAAACCTCGACAGTGGGCATCGAACTAACATTGTATACAAAATAATCATATTCATGTACAATCAATTATTTACACAAGCAAATACTTCAGTCATAATAATAAAACGTTTAAATTAATCATTACCTAATAGTTCAAGCGAACGATAGTACATATGTTCAGTCACTAAATGCAGAATGAAACGTAGAGGTCATATACAAATAATCGTTCTGATCAAGGATAACAAAAATGGTTTTATAAACTCACCCCACTTCATATATAAATGTATACATGTCCAAATTATAATGTTGATAAGAGCACCATTAAGCAAATCATGAAATAATAATTCAAACTGTAAAATGAAGTAATAAATATATGATTACACTGGGTATAACACAGTATAAAGTAGAGACCATAATGTTCAAATAAATTTGTATTTGAGGCATTATAAACTAAGCAAAATCTCTCACTGGGTATGGTTAATAGTCATGAATATAAATAGTATTGTAAATGAGGATAGGCATACCGGTGTCCATTCTTTGAACTTTCTCAATGTGAAACGTAGGATCTGCGTCAGAATGCAGAATATTAACAAATATATACCCTTTGAAGATATGCTATAGTGATGAGTATAATGTATGTAAATTTACCATGGGCCCTTGTTTGGGCAATACACCCAGAATGCATGAAATTTGTGTAGATTGATAGAAAAAAATAGCATCGTCTACCCAAACCTTTTCCTCAAATGCAGTACTAACAAATTGATCTATAAATCAATTACATTTACAAGTTCTATAATAATCAAAGTATAATTTGATAGAAGAAAAAGAAAATGTATTGCTACATGCTACTATAACTTATGGCAGTATTTCCTTCACAACTCACGGTGCAACCTCTTTATAAAACTAGTGTGCGTTACAATTTTGTATAAAAACTAAAACACAGTTTTGTGTCAACTTTTAAGGCAACTTGTCTTTTCATAGAAACAAGAGAAAATACTTGAAAATCCAAAGATGAAGGTGAAATTATTAGTGGACAAATATAATGGACTGAAAAGAGAAAAATAAGTTCCCTTTTTCCAGCGCAAGGTATAGTATGCTGTTTTAAAAACCAATGAATGTTTATTTATGCAGAGCTGATGAAATGCTACAATGTAGCCATTTCTCTATTAACACCCAAAGTTAAAACTGAGTTGCATTACGACACTGGCACATTTATTAAAGGACTACTGAAACGCCAGGACATTTTAAGACCTCAAACTTTTGTGAATTGGTAATAGTAACCATTTTACCTCAAGAAACTTTGCAAATGTGGACCATTCACAAAATTCAGTTTCGTACGTGTAAAAGTTCTGGCATTAGGGTTATACCAGTAACGTGAAGAGTGGGTAGATGATTATTTTGAAGTTCCTTTTCCATGGAATAAAAATGCACTGGATTCTATTTCCCCCTCGCTATAGCCAAGCTTCTATAATGTGAGATCATTTAAGGGAGTTCCCCTACTGGGTACCCATTTTACTTCACCTGGGTGGAGGGTGCCAAGTGGAGATTCAAGGTCTTGTTAGAGAATGTTAGTGTGATCTGCCTGATGGCCCTCCAATATTTAAAAAAAATCTATTAAGAGAACCAATAACTTCTAACTTATACTATCTTGAAGAAAAAAATGCTAATTTTTGAACAAACAACTGACTGCATCCTGGTATATTCAGAATGTCAAAAGTGATCATGAAACTTTTATATGAATTGTATCAAAGCTGGGAAACATACATCAAAATATCATAAATAGCAAATTTCTCTGTGATATGATAAAAATGAATGATGTTGATTCCACTTGAAAATCAAGTACAAATCGTATGTTAACCAGCAATAACTTGCAAAAAGGTATGGACCTCATTTCCTGTTGTTCAAATTGCAAGATAATGTTTCAATAAGTAGTAGTCTTCTGGTCCAGTTGTTTTAATCCAACAAGACACAGCTTGTATATTTGATTGTTCACTAGGCTTTCCTCCCAGTTGTATCGATAAATAACTGCATATAGCCTTCTGCACCAGTCACTCTAATACCCATCCATTCACTAGGCTTCCCCCTAGTTGTTGTAATGAAAAACATTCACTTCATGAATTAAACTCAATATAGCCTTCTGTGCCAGTCACTGCAACGTCCTTCTGTATACCAGGCATTCCTCCCAGTTTTTTCAATGAATAATATCCACTTCACGATTTAAACTGCATATAGCCTTCCGTGCCAGTCACTGCGTCGTCCTTCACTATACCAGGCTTTTCTCCCAGTTGTTTCGATGAATAATATCCACTTCATGATTTAAACTGCATATAGCCTTCCGCCCCAGTCACTATAACGTCCATCCATATCCTCATGCTTTCCGGCGATGGCGCAACAAGGAAGTAAGTCCTTTCTTTGGTTTTGATGCAAAACGTCAAAGTCGGATTGGGACTCTTGTACGGTCTGAGATGGTCGAAATAAACGTCCTGAACTGCCTGAAAGTACATGCCGCCTTTGGGCTTCGTCTCGTCCTTGTCGGAAGAGTAGTAGAGGAAGGAGCGCTTCGTGCGGCTGAAGACGAACCAGCGCTTACGCCACGTCTTGATGCGGCCGCCCATCTTGGTCACGTAGCCGCGGCAGGTGTTTTTGGTGATGGCGATGTAGGGGCAGGTGTCGACGCTGTGACCTGCGGTCTCGACGTGCGCTCGGAGGTCAAAGTCCTCGGACGTGATGGGCAGGTATCTTGTGAGTGGACGAGACTGGGGAGAAGAAACAAGGAGTATTTATAAAAGTTGTGTTCAAACTTACAAAACTAGATAAGTCATATAGAAACAATATGGACCGATTTGTATTATGTGTATGAAATACTTTCATTCCCCAGTCACAATTATGAGACTGAAAAAGGACCCGAAAAGGATGATACATTTTTCCACTCTGAATTGTTCATTAATAATCCCCTACAAACCCCTGACAAATGTTTGAGTACCGCTAAGATCTTTGAAGCATGGTCAACATGAGCCAAACGGACTCTATACCAACAGCAAAACAGATATCACACAGAATATCAAGATATCCATTTGGTAGTGTGACCACGGTATCTATCCATTCCAAGGACAAAGAGTTATATACAGTCAAACCTGTCTATAAAGACCACCCAAGGGAGACAAGAAACATGGTCTTTATAGGCAGGTGGTCTTTATGTACAGGTCCCTTTATTACATGTTTTAATGAGAAACCATTTTCAAGGGAAACAAAAAAATATGGTCTTTGTAGACAGGTGGTCACTAAAGCAGGTTTGACTGTACCTGTTATTACAAATGACCCTTGACTGACTTTTTGATAATGGGCTACCTTGCTGTCACCTGTCTGCCTGATAATTGCCTAATTGAGATACATTTACACAATGAACTCCCAAAGACCTTGGCTTAGATTACATTACAACAAGTCATTAAAATGTAATAGGTCGTAAAATACACCAATATCCTGTACATGGATATCAATTACCATTTTCTATTTTTTAGGAATATCCCTACATGGAACCTATAAAAGAGAGAGAGAGGGGGGGGGGAGGAAATGAGAGAAAGAGAGAGAAAGAGAGAGAAAGAGAGAGAAAGAGAGAGAGAGAGAGAAAGAGAGAGAGAGAAAGATAGAGAGAGAGAGAGAGAAATATTGAGAGAAAAAGAGAGAGAGAGAGAGAGAGAAAAAGAGAGGGAGAGATAGAGAAAGAGAGACAGAGAGAGAGAGAGAGGGGGGGGGGGGGGGAGTGGGGAGAGGAAGAGTCTGGACGCACAAGTCCTCTTCAGTCCTCATGTGTTTTATTCAAGGGTATGAAGTTTAAGACTACTGTGCAAATAGAAAATTTTGAGAGTTGCAGACGGCAGAGATTTCCATGGCAAGGAACTTTCATGAAGTGCAAAAAATATAGTGATACATGTAGGTCAGTTGCTATTCAATTATTTTATTGTTTAATGAAATTTTCATGGATCTGAAATCGCTAACAAAATCTGTAAACATTCCATACCTATGAGATTTTCTGGTTTACAGTGTAGCTTTCAGGCAAGGAAAAAATGCTGTCAGTTGTGGTGCATAACAGAAGGTCTGAACAATTTAAGACTATGTACACGGACAGAGCCAGAGGCTGATAAAGTCAGACTAGGCTCTATGTTTTTAGAATTTTGTTCAGTGTCAAAATAGCTGCCATGAGATGAGGAGGGGGTAGGTTTACTGAAAGTAATGGCTCACCTGTACATTGCGTGCCTTCTCTCTCAGCTTGACTTGTTCCTCGACAAGCTCTTCCCTCATGTTGGTTTCCTCCTTCAGCTTCTTCTCCAGCTCCTCTCTCCTAATGATCTCCTCTTGTAATGCTTTCTCTTCGACTTGTTTTAATCTCTCCTGTAAAATAAACAATAAATGGTGTTACTACCATTCCAATTCTTTTGTTAGTTTTGTTTTGTTGCTTTACCCGGCAGAAGGGTGGAAAACACATAATTGTCATCTTTCTCAAATCTTAAAATGTTCTTTTGATTGCTGAAGTAAGAATCTCCCTTACAAATTGAATGACAATTTAAATGAGTTGTAAATGTAGATGAAGTAAAGGAGTGATAAATATTTTGAAATGCGATTATTCTAGAAGTTTACATCAATTTTCTGGGCATCCATTAGCACCCTTCTTGCATTCATACCCCCTTTAGCAACCACCTGTATAGGCAGACCACCTGTCTCGAAAGACCACATATTTTTTATCTCCCTTGACAATTATTTCCTATTGACACATCAAAGCAACCTGTCTATAAAAACCACCTGCCCACGAAGACTGCTTTTCTTGTCTCCCTTTGAGTGGTCCTTATAGACAATTTTCAACATAGTACCAATGATGAAAAAAAGGCACCCCCAAAAAAGAACAGTGGCTGCAATTATGTGTCGATCATGTGATTGAACTTCACATGACCTGCCAGTGACGAATTTAAAGGGCTGAACATAGCGCTCTCGCATTGATACCTGCACAAAGCTGTATTGTGTCATTCGATATCATCCCTTGAACATAGCACTCCCATGTCAATAAACCCCATTAAAAAGACCGTCATTCAGTATAAAGCTCTTTAAAGGTAGGGTATTTTACTGACATCGCTACCACTGCTGTAATGTATGATTTTCAATTGCGCCAACTTTTGGTAAAAGCGTACGCAGAGCGATTTCCGCGTCCTGTACCCAAGCATCCTCACGCATATGTTATGCAGTTGGTGATGCATTGTGGGAGATTGCTGTCAACAAATCAAGACACTGTGAGCAGTAGATGGCAGACTATGTAAATCTGAAGTAGCGTCAGAAAAATTTCCTGCCTTTAAAGTGCTTAAAATATAAAAAACACTCAGTTGACTACAAAGGACAAAGGCTGTCGTTGCATGCCGAAAATACATTTTCTGATCTGTTGCTTTTCTAATTTTGGAACTCTGATTAGCTGGATAAATATAGAACCTAAGATTAGATTTCTTTTATTTTAAATGTGCATTGTGACATCATCACAAACAAAGGTAGGGAAGTGAAATTAGAATGAATTCTTTAAAGGACCTAGCTAAACATTTAAAGGCCATCTGTACTAGTTTGGCCAGGAGGGATTAGACCACACAGGCTGGTCACTGACAGGTGGTTATCTCATCAACTCAGCTCTCAATTAACATAAGAAAAAAAAAAGGTCACCGATTACGCTTTGTTTTCTATATAGAGGGAGCAAGTAGCTACAAGTAGTACAGTGGGGCTTTAAAGTGACAATAAAAGATAATCATTCCAATTTATTTATTTGATTATCTACCTATCTACCTACACATACCTATTCTACCTATTCATCTATCAATCAACATGTATTTATTTTTGTTTGTTTATTTATTCATATATAATTTTATAAATAAACATATTAATATTTATTGTTTTGTTATCATCATATTTTGTTTACCTCATTTGTCTAATCATATTCCCTTTTTTGTGGAGGGGGGGGGGGGGGGGCTAACAATGCGATTTGTTTGGCATAATATTTAATGGTGATTCACTTCTTGCCAGTTATTGACAGGCTTAAGCACATATAATCCATGGATTAAAGGAGCCCCCTTCAATCATAAGATGTATGACTCGTTATTCTCCTCTCCCTTTTCCCTATGAATAAGAAACCTCCCGTTCATCTACCGGCTTGAACACATTGCATTTGAGCACTCCATTAATAAGACGTTCGTTCATATTTCTTTTGGATGGTGGGGACAAGGCATAATTATAGGGTTATTAATATATATGTCCCTGCAAAGAGCAATCATTTGTTCACAGTGCTTTTAGAACCTGTTTAGAAAGACCTTCTGTCAAAAATGAGCCACTTCTATTTTCCTTGAGTGGCTTTTATAGACAGGTTTGTGTGCAGGGGTGGGGGGGGGGGGGGAGGTATAATTATCGGGTTATCAATAAATGTCCCTGGAGAGGGGCAATTATTTGCTCCATGGGCTTTAAGAACCTGTTTAAAAAGGCCACCTGTCAACTGAGTGGCCTTTATAGAAAGGTTGGGGATAAAATTCATTCCTACCTGTTGCTCCAGTAACGCCATCTTCTCCACCTGGGCGTCCCTGAGAGCTTTCTCCATTATGAGTAGCTTATCCCTCTCCTCCCTCGACATATTCACAAAGCTGGAAAAAGAAAAGAAAAGAGAAGAGAGGGATTACAATCAGTGTTAAAAATAATATGCAGTGGTGGTACAAGACTTATATTTTGGCTGTTTTTGTGAGAAGGAGAGGAAAGAAGAGTTACAATGAAGTAAAAAGTAAAATGCACTGCTTTGGTACGAGTCACATATTATGGCTGAATTTTCGCCATCATTAGTAGCTGATCCCTCTCTCTTTATATGTTCACAAAACTTCAAGAAAGAGAGAAGGAGAAGAAAGAAGAGTTACAATGAGCTTAAAAGTAATATGCAACACTTGGTATATGAAAGTCACATTGCATTGCTCATTTTCTTCATCATCGGTAGCTTAACCCTCTCCTTTTTTCTATGGGTATGTATGTTCTCAAAACTGGAATACAGTGGAAGCTGAGAAAATTTACAATCAATTAAAAAATTTAGCAGGTGAGACAGCAATAACTGTTACGAATCAGGAAAGCATTTGCCCCTTTAAGTTCCAATTTTTGGTCAGCAGAATGGCATTGGTGGTTAATACAAATGGCCTGAAAAAGCACCACAAGTACTGCTCAGAAGTACTTGAAAGAAATAGTTTTCTTTAGTTCTGTGAAGTATGGTTACAACCTCAACATTCGCGTGAAGCTGAAGTTTGGGAGAATGAGTCCTTCAGTCTAAGGGTCCTGAAAGTGAAATTCGATCCTGTAACAATAACACTGCAATGAACTATTGGTACAATTGCACAATACAATGCTTTTCAGTAGCACTGTGCAACAAAAAAGAAAGAAAAAGAGCAGCGCAGAACTAAAAATACTACATAAGGAGACAACAGATTGTATCTTAAAAACCTCATACTACATATTTGGAAGTACAGTCAAACCTGTCTAATAAGGCCATCCAAGGGAAACTCAAAATGTGGTCACTGTAGACAGGTTAAGACAGGTTCTTCAAAAAATGTTTTGTTCTAGAGGACGGCAATATGGATGACCACTACAGACAGGTTGCCTTTCTAGACTGGTTCTTCAACACAGATTTCCTTCTAGAGGACGGCAATATGGATGACCACTACAGACAGGTTGCCTTTCTAGACTGGTTCTTCAACACACATTTTGTTCTAGAGGACGGCAATATGGATGACCACTACAGACAGGTTGCCTTTCTAGACTGGTTCTTCAACACACATTTTGTTCTAGAGGGAGCCAATATGGATTACCACTAAAGACAGGTGGTGACTAAGACAGTAGGTATAAGTCTATTTATACTCAGCAAGCTACAAATAACAAGGGCATTCAATGCATGTACACGAACATGACATTGACACAACATATCAACAACATTCCTACTTACAAAATGCTCCGGTTCATGTTGCCAAAAAATGTTGTCGCAGCTCACAACAAACAAGAGTATATATTCCCAGAAATAAAAGCTCCAAATGAATTAAGTCTCCGACTAGCTTAGCAGCGAGTTAACAGCGTGTTTTGAGTCATATTATGAACTGCGCGAGCCGAAAATGAAGGGGTATGAGTTTGATAGCGGGCCAGGCAGTGTTAGTAGTCTGGGTAATATGAGCGAGAAAGGGGGGAGGGGGGGGGGGGTAAAAAAGTGGATGCTTTAATTTCCTTTTGGTGAAATGTCACTGACAGGAAGGGGATAAGGTGCTGTCATTCGCCGACATCGGAGACTGACACCTTTTACACACGGAGGGACGCGAGAGAATATGGTGATAGGTAGAGAGAGATCGGGGCATGAAGAGAGGGAAGGGAGAGGAGAGGAGAGGAGAGGAGAGGAGAGGAGAGGAGAGGAGAGGAAGAGAGAGGGAGAGAGAGAGAGAGAATGGGAGGGGAGAGGTAGAGATACAGAGAGAGAGAGAGAGAAAGAGAAAGAGAGGAAGAGAGAGAGAGAGAGCACCACATGATGACTATAGTAAGAGAGAGAGAGAGAGAGAGAGGGGGGGGGGGGAGAGGATAGAAAAATGCCCTGTAGAATTGTAGAATGAGTGGCATTTGGTTTTGAATACTGTACACATGGGAGGTAAAGCGACAGATGAAGAAAGAGAGAAAGAAAGACAAAAGAGTCAGACAGAGAAAGACCAAACAAGACAGTGATAGGAGAGAGAGGCAAAGAGAGGGAGAGTGGGATAGCAAAGAGAGAGAGAGAGAGAGAAGAAAAAAAGAGAGGGAGAGGGAAAGAGAGAGAGAAGGAGGGCGAGGAAAGGGGAGGGGAGAAAGGAAAAAAGAGTATGATTCAGACAGACCTGCCAGAGTAAACACAAGGGCGTAGGAAAGATGAAAAGGTACAAAAACGGGCAAAAGTTCAAGACCTACGATATGTAACAACATAGACGAATTGGGAAAAAGAGGAAGGAAAGTTATATACTGCACTATTCAGAATAAAAAAGAGAAAGAGGGAGGGTGGGACGAAGTGATGGAGAGATGGAAAGAATATTAGGTGGGAATGTTAAGCTATTAAAAGTTACACAAAGTCAAAGACAGGAGAAGAGGGAGTGGAAGTAGGATAAAATTACCTATATACCGAAGAGAGAAGGAACAGAGAAAAACACATAGAGAGATAAAAAAAAAAAGAGAGGAGAGAGAGAGAGACAGAGAGAAAGAGAAAGAGAAAGAGAAAGAGAAAGAGAAAGAGAAAGAGAAGAGAAAGAGAAAGAGAAAGAGAAGAGAGAGAGGGGGGGGGGAGAAAGTTAGAGAGATTTGCATAACAGAGTCAGACACAGAAAGTGATAGAATGAGAGGGAGAGAGAAAAAAAAATGAGACAGGAGATAGAGAGAAAGAGAGAGAGAGAGAGACAGAGAGATAGGAGAAAAGAGAGGAACACAGAGAGCCAGAAAACAAACAGGCAGACAGAGAGCAAAGTTATGAAAGAGAACCGAGGGAAATGATCTATGTACTAGGAAGTGATCCACATATCGTGCAGACACGGTCGTAATCCTATACGCAACCAGGGATCATAAGCAATCACGACCGGAGCAGACTGACAAACGTCCTAACACGACGGAAACAACAGGCAACATCTAGGAACGGGCAGGGGAAACAGTCTGCCCTCAGAACAATCCCCTGAACTAGATGCAGATCAAGGACTACATGTATGTACAACCAAAGCGGTGGTCTACAATTCTGAATAATTTTTAACAAGCCACTCAAAGATATTCTTTTTAGGTGCCTTTTAGGGCCTTGGACTCGAAGGGAGCACAGCACAAAGAAAGAGAAAAAAAAAAATTAATTAAAAAAAAAAATCTTTTAGGGAAGAAGTGTGCCCCTATGCCCCCCCCCCCCCCCCCCCAGGTACGCCACGGCCTAAGCCCCCAAATGGAATTAACAATCGTCTGCTGACAGCGAGAGAGGCATTGACTCTATAAAGAAATATGTGTTACTGCCCTTCTGGCTCACAACAGAGACAAGGCACAGCATCCACACTCCACAGATGTGACTCAACTGTCTGGGAAGGAAGACATCACAACTAGATGGTTTATTAGTCGTGACTGGGTATTTTAATGTCTGGCCATTCATGACTGTGTATTCTCGCTCGCTTTAAACATGTAGCGTACATGTAAACAAAAAACTGTTGGCCTAAAAGAATCTGGATATGCACAATCAGTAAATGGAATCTTGGATTTCAGCTTCGGTGGCACAGCAGTCATCATCATTCAGATATATTTGGAAAAAAAAAAATCATATCTGGGAAGGAAATCAAGGAAAAGTAAATTTCTAAAATAATAAATTTTGCAGTATCCATGCTTATGAACAGGGAGTAGCCCAGCCATACAAAATACCCCCCCCCCCAAAAAAAAAAATGTCTTTTTGGAAGTGGTCAAGGAATATGAATACTGGTATTGCAAATTAAAGAACAATAAAAAATGCAGTATCTTAATTTATGAATCAGGCTAAAAACATTCCCTATTCTTTTCACTGGTCAAACATTTTTGGCTATCAAAACCTATTTGCTCTTGATGTTTTAGAATTTATGTTTACAAATGGGGCTAAAGATGACATGGCTCGTGCAAGTAACCCTGTCAGCTAGCCAGCCATGCGCCGCTAATTTCCAGTTTCCTACGTGCATCCCACACCGAGTAAAATCGGAACCATGCATTGTGATCATCCACTAGTTCAAGGACATCATTAATACCTATTGGGCTACTCGTCTGTAATGGGATTAAGGCAAAGAGGAAAGGGGAAGGGGAAGAGGATTAATAGGGTGGCCTTACAGGGGGGATTAGCCTATCCGCTCTGTACAGTTATTTACCAAGGACATATTTTTTAACCAATTGTGTACGGGGACTGGGTGAGCCGGTACATCATACCTTCGGGAATGGGAGAGTTCAGAAATCAATGGGTGACCCCCAAAAGACTGTCTTTGATTCCTTAAAGCCACACTGTACTACTTGTAGCTACTTGCTCCCTCTATATAGAAAACCATGCCTAATCGGTGACCATTGGTCCCCTATGATCCTCTTTTTCTTATGTTAATTGAGAGCCAAGTTGATGAGCTAACCACCTGTCAGTGACCTGGCAGTGTGGTCTAATCCCTCCTATAAACTAGTACAGATGAGCTTTAAGAACTTTACTCTGCACTGCTCATGAAGTTAATCATTGTCTATTCAAACTGAGTGGTTCCTGTCTTTAAGCCGAGGAGAATGAGTCCATCCCGTCGATGGATCAAGTCTTGTCTCTGCTTCCATTACAACTCAACTACACATATTTAATTTTGATTTGACGGTGGGTCGTTTTACCCGACCGCTAAGAAATCATGTGTATGCTCATAAGTAAGCAACCAGGGGATGGACAAGTCCTTTCCGAGGGACTTGGTAATGAGGATTAATGCCTTACCAAAGGGCACTATAGCGCATCGTCTTGGTGTTGAACCTGGGACTTCCCGGTTATGAGACTATTGCTCCATCACTGAGCCATCTTGTCGTCTCAAGACGGGAAGGCTCAGTTAACTGTTCGGGGACTGGGTGGAGCTTTTTTTTAAGTAAGCCTAAGTTAACAAGAGAATTCAGTAGCCAATATGCGAAATACACGCACTGTCTTTGAATTTTTTAAGAATGCAACTCTGTACTATTTACATCAAGTTAACTATTAGTTGACTTTTGATTGAATCCAGACTGCGACACTGTTTGCAGTACATGTTCTGTGTACATTTCATATGTGACACAAGTTGATTGTGGTATTCCAATGTTTCTAACATTTTTCTACCAAAGCGAGCGAAAAGTTAAGGCATTGCCAGTGGGATCAGGGCGGTTAATATAGTAAGCCTTGGGGGGAAAAGAGAATTTGATACTTTATGGGTTAAGTAAAATATCAGATTCCCTAACAACTCAACTCTTGGACTGCTGATCAAGTTTAAATAACACATTGCTTTGGGGACCAGAATGATTCTTGTATCTAGTCTAGGGGTGAGAGAGAATTCAATGATTGATGGGTTAAAGCCCCACTGCACTACTTGCGCCCTCTATATAACAAACAATGCCTAATCGGTGCCTGTTGGTCCCCCATGATCCCCTTTTTCATATGTCAGTTGAGAGCTGATTTGATGAGATTACCACCTGTCAGTGACCTTGCAGGGAGGTTTAATCCCCCCTGTCCAAACTAGTAGACGGGATGCAATTTTAATTGGGGCCTGATTGATCATATACAACACACCGTACTATAGGATGACTCTTGAAAAACACGGCAGTATATGCATTACCATAATGATGGAAAGTGTTTTGAAATTCATATTTTGCATGAATTTGAAATTTAACCAAATACCACCACCACTTTACTACACCTATTGGACATTTATAACATCTTTAATACATGTACCATGTATAAAAGACGTTTCAAAAACTTTTAAAACAAATTTCATCAAATAATTCAATTCAAATTTAAATCAAATTACAGTAAAAGCTGCCACAGTAGTAAAAACAACATGAAATTCACCTGTCAATAGTGATCCCTCTAGCAGATATGGGTCATAGAACCTGTCAAGAAAGACCAACTTCCTAAAGTGGACATTTTTATTCCTGTAACCCTTTGGTGCCTTTCAAAGACATATTGAAATTGAATTGAATAAATAAATTGAATCAATTCAAACAATTCAATACAAACTAAAATCAAATCATCGAATAGAATCAAATCAAGGATTGCCTTCCTACCTCCCACTGAACGTCCGCGAAGGAGTACTGTGTCCCGACCGGCCCCCGAAGTCCAAATGCCCCTCGATGCTCTCGAAGCTCGACACGCTGGTGCAGTCACTGTACCCCAGCGAGGAGGGGGACTCCAGACGGTAGGGGAGGTGGGAGGGGGAGCCGAGGTGCGTGGGGGAGCTGATGGAGTTGTGGGGCGACGAGGAGGAGGAGGTGGTGGAGGTCGGGGATCTGAGGAGCTCTCGTTGCTTGCGTTGCTCCTCCCACTGGAGTTTGACCTCGTCTGCGGCTTTCTTGCGCATCTCCATCAGGCGAGATTTCTCCTTCTCGATCACTTGCTCACCTGAGGGAGAAAAAAGAAAATAATGAATACATAGTGAAGTAACAAACAACATGCTAAACTACATGGGCATATCAAGATTGAAAGAAAATTTCTGTGAATTGTTGGATCAATTGAAATTATATGCACCTAAAATAATGAAGTACCTGCCCTCCTGGGAACTGCTAAGTTTCAAGAGAGGAAAAGGACAGGCATTACTTGCACAGATTGTAACAATTTTTATGTTGGGAAAACTAGCAGGACTCTCAATGAGCGTTTAAAAGAACACAAAAGAGCCATCCCATCCCATTCAGCTTTAGCTGAACACGCCCTCAACACAGGACATAACATTGGATGGGAGGGTGCCCTACTTTGAAAGCAACTTCTGGTCAAGAAAGGTGAAAGAGTTGTTAAGAGGATTAATCCTACACAAAACAGGGACTCTGGATACCTATTGTCACCTATCTTTGGTCCAGTGAACGCAAGACACCAGGCAGCACTGAGAAAACGTGTGACCGATCAATATTGGCTTGAGAAAGTCCACAGGAGTGGACGAAAGCTGGCCCACAAAATTCAAAGTTGGTAGAAGTATCAACAATTACATTATATGATTATCCCCAACCCAAAATTTTCTGTATCACTTATAGGAATATTTGTGTTTCGGAGACTGCAGCGATTTTAAATGCTATGCAGTAACCAACAATTAAAATTCTACTCATTTGGTATCCAATGATGTGGGAGAATAGATGTGGGGAAACAATATCCATGATCATTATCAGATAGAGACAAAATTCTTTGTCAAATTGGCAAAGCCTTACCTGTTTCCTCTAGTGTTAGCTTCCTATGCCTCTCAATATCCAAGATGGTTGTACCCGCCCTGCTCAGAGCATTGTTAGAAGAGGCTGGGGACATCGATGGTGACCCTCCCTCGCCTTTGACCCCTGTGTTAGGGGTCAAAGTTCCTGAGGTCTTCCGTCTGGCGAGGTACTCGTCGCTCAGGGAGAGCTCCGGAGCCAGTCTCAAGCGACGCTCGGCCATGTCTTTGATCTTCATCTGTGAGACATCAAGAAGGAATACGATAGATGATTAATACGTTGACTACCAAGTTCTCCGATTCCAAAGGTCCTAGTCCACAAACCAATCACTGTCCATAAGGAATGGGTTAAGACTGGGCTCCACACTATCTTTTTTTGACGGGGGTCTAGGACCCTGTACTTTATAAAGAGTTGCGATTGATGAAAATTAATGTCAATCGCAATTGTGTACTTTACGAGATAGGTATAGAAAGGTGGTGGTTCTGGTCTATACCTTGATATAGGAGTTGCGATTGATTTCAAGTTGTGATCGATTTGAATCAATCGCAACTCTTCATAAGACGTGGGCCCAGATCTAACTTTATAGCATTTGTATGCATGTGCCCCATGTGTGGACTTAGATTTTGGGAACTCCTGTATCCAGGTTCCTGTTTAAGTCGAGCCCTTGGTTGAGTATTTAAGTTGTAAATTTACGAAATTATCGTATGACAAACTGTCTCTGGGCTACTATTGCTCTGAAGTCAATTTCTTAAACTTGTTGAAGTCAAATTTTCAACCATGCATCCAATGTTCCATTATATTTCTTTTTTTATCTATTATTATCTATTTATGAAATACTTAGAGAGGCGCTCAAACATCTGAGGAGTGTTTCACAAAGACTAAGATCGACTTGAGTTGGACTTGAAATATGGCAGTCCATTCATGCCACAAGTTCCTCTAACCATTCCTGCCATCGGTTTCTCCAGGTGATCACAAATCTACAGAATTTACATTTTTTGATAGTTCGTTACTGAAGGAAAAAATGTTATCTAAAGATCATAATTCTCGCTACCCCAAATAGCGATTCTGCCGAGATCCGGGGAAAATCCTGAAAACGCGCATTGCATTATGGGATAGCTTTTCGACATTACAGCTTCCTGTGCAGGCGTTCGTGATCACAACCCTCTCTTTCACGGTAGAGTTTAACGGCCTTTTGTGCTAAAGTCACTAATTCTGCCCGAAGCTTTCCATTGCATATTATAATCTGTACAAATTACACTGATTGGCATCGATTTTAGCGTGCGTGAAAACTCTGCACGGCGAACACAGGCGCTAGCGCCAGCGGGATGGGACTCTATACCGGAAGTTGTAGTGACGACCCGAGAGAGTGAAAATTACCTCGTCTCGCGAATTTCGAGATTTTCGTACCTATTTAGGGTAGCGAGAATTGAGAGACCAATGGTGATCGAGAGCAAACAGTGGCATGAATGGCCTGCCATAGTAGAAGTCCAACTTAAATCGATCTTCGTCTTTGTGAAACATTTCCCAGATGTTTCAGTGCCTCTCTAGTTATTTAATGAATAGATAACAATTCAAAATGAAAAGAAATATAATGGGTAATATAATGGATTATAGCACCCCTTGGTTCACCAACTAAAAATTAATCCACCCCAAACTCTGAATCTTGAACCTCAAGATGACGAAGATGTCTTACCATTTCTGGAGTGTCTTTCTGGCTTGGTAGGATGTGTCTTGAGTAGTAGAGGACTAGGTTGTTGTACTGCTTCTCAATGCTTAGTAACATCTTCTTCTCCTAAAATGATGAACAGATGGAGATGAAAATTGGATGAAAATATTGATAGCTTCACAGGGAGAAATAAGTCAAGAAAAAGTAGTAGTATATGAACAATAGGAATAGAAAATATATACAATCTTAACCTACTTTGCATTATTTCACTGATTACTAGCAATTTACGTTGTCACATTCCTGTAAACTATTTTCCCTTCAACTTTTCATCTACTAAAGCCTTTCTTTCTTCTTTTCTTTCTTCCTTTCTCTTTCTTCCTCTGCCTCCAAACACTCAATCAACTAACAATACTAATGATGTAAATATACATGCTTATATATTTCCTCATTTTCGTCAACAAATATAAGTTTCTTCTTGCATATACAGAAAACATATTTCTTCCAAAAGTTTCCCTTATTCTTGAATGACATATACATTAATGAATTTTGATTTTGATTATTGAATTTTGAACTTAAATGTTTACAAAATTTGATTGGATATGTTACCTTTTCTAAGTGACCTATGGCCGCTACTTTCTTCTTCTCGATGGTCTCTGCTTGTCTCTTGGCATCGCTGATGATGTAATTCATCTGCTTGTTGATGTCATATACTGTCTCCTGAAATAGAAAAGAAAAAAAGAAAAATAGAAAGTGACTATGATGTTGCTCTCAGCCCTATCTATTTATCTTCATGTTGCCCTTTAAATCGTGAAACCTTTTACATCAACATTATTTTAAAAAATGCATGTTTAAGATATTAACTGCAAACTTTCTTTTATATATGAAGTGAATTATTTGAGTATTTTAATTTGATGATGATGATGATGATGATAATGATGATGATGATGATGATGATGATGATGATGATTTGTAGAACAAAAAGTGCAATAAGTGCAAGAACCTGGAGGCACTTTATGTATTTCCACATAATCAATATCATCATAGTTATTATCTCTTATCCAGTAGACTTGAGTTATTATCATGCGAAAGAAGCAAATGTAATTCTTTTTTTTCAAACCCCTAAATGATATTTTTTATAGAACCTCAAACTCCGAGGTAACCAAACATAAAACAAACAATTACATGAGATATGAAAACAATGCAACATACAAATTGACTATAATCCTACTCAAAGGACACACCTAAAATGTGGATTCACTCGAATACCTTTTTTCAAACTACACAGGAGTCAGCAAGAGAGGGCACTTTAGTAACTCACAGTACCCCCCAAAAAAATCTTCTTTCGTTATAATTTGATGGCAATTAGTCATACTTAACTATTGTTACCAATGACTTTAATATTATTTTTTTTCTCCTCTCACTCTCTCTCTCTCTCTCTCTTAATTGATAATTATTCATATACTGTTTACTTTTTCCTTCCTTTTTCATTCCTAACAAAACTATATACATATACATCTTGTTGTAATGCTTCCACTGCAAATCAATCTTAAGGTTAACACTGAGTATTTGGAAAGGTTAAAGTCAGACAACTGACTAGCTATCTCAATACACTTGTTAATAATCAGCAAGGGTGTTTTCATCTATTTTGGCACAAATTCAGTCATGTCTCACTCAGCTGGTCTCCCTATACCATCCTCTTTCAACTGATTGCCAAAAACCATGACATTCTATTGTCTGCACCACATCTGTGTTCAATTTAGCAGGACTAAAGTACAAGTGCGGGTCAGGCAAGTGGGATCAAGTTCTTGTGCATGTTGTTGAGTATACATGCAATTGTGTGTGGTTATATGCTACTGCTCATTTTCAGTTTGTTCAGATATTAACTACCTGCATGTAAAGTTAATTTCAAATCGATTCAATGTCAATTTCAATTTATTTTTCCATTAAAAATACAATTTAATAATGAAAACAAACAAAGAAATCCATTGTAAAGACCCCGTAGAAAGCAAAGCTTATTTAATAGGAGGGGCCCTATACAAATACAAAGAAATAAATGAATATAAATGAAATTTGAATCAAGTAGTTCATATTTTTCAAAAAAAATTGTCATGGCACAGAGAAACCTGTCTATAAAGACCACACAACAGAAACAAGAAAAGCAGTCTTGATATAAGCAGCCTCAGGGTTTTATTTAAAAGTGCCTTCAGTACATGTTTCAATGGCAATCCTGTTCAAGGTAAACAAGAAGTGGGCTTTACAGACAGGTGGTCTTTCTATACTGTTGAAAGGGGGTTTCACTTGAATATAAAACCATCTTTAAAGCAACAGACAAACTGTTCAAAGGGATTTTAGAAACTTTGTCTCAGATTCTGAAACAAACTCCTGGATTTAGCTCATGCTGCAATGATAATTATAAACCTTTAGTTCAGTCAGGAACCCCATGACTTTTACAAGCCGATCGCCTGACTGATTATCCAGAAATTTGTGATTGAAATTCGAAATTTAACAGTTCCTAACAGTTTTTATAACACTACAGTCTATTGGGGAGAATGAGTATGGTAAAAACGGGCCACTCAAGGTTTTTTCTTTTTGAGGCACTTCGTGTTCATTTTGAAGCGCAATATTTGTAGGGCTTCAATATTACACCATATCAAAGACACTGATAACACGCAGGGTAGAGCATCTCATATTTAACATTGTTAAACAAGTAGCTATAAGTAGTGCAGTGGGGCTTTAAAGTCATCCTCCTTTCTCACCTTTGAGTTCTTCATCTTCTCCTCCTCCTCGTCTTCCTCCAGGGACAGCCTCTTCTCCTGAATCTCCTTCTCCTCCTCTATCTTGGCCTCGATCTCCAGCTGCCTGAACTCCAGATCCTCAAACTTCTTCCTCTCCGAGTCCAGCTGGATGGAGTCTCTCCGGGCCAGGGACAGGAGCTCCTCTTGCTCCTCCCGCGGCGAGGTCTCGATCTTCTGCTTGAACTCAAAGTGCTGCCTCTCCAGGCTCTGGAGGCGCCGCCGTGCTTCTTCGACGCGCAGACGCTCCTACGAATCAAGAAAATCAATAATTTGTTATGGTTTTGAACGTGGGCTTGGACTCTGTATATCAACGTATAGATCAGAACCACCACCTTTCTATACCTATTGGACATTTATAACATCTTTAATAAATGTACTACGTCTACAAGGAATTAATGTTGAATTCAAGAGATTGAAAAATGTTGATTGTAACTACCTAGCCAGGCAACTTGAGCATGCTACAGGGATCACACCCAGGTTTAAAGGGCTGTGAACAGTCTCAGCCCCTGGGTAATATAAGGCTTGGGTCAGTAGCCCAAATATTCTTTCTTTTAGGTTTCTTTCTGGATTGCTTTTCATCACTTGGATGGTTTCACCAGGACCCCGTTTCACAAAACTTGTTATCAATAACGTGTTACGATAACTGTTATAAGCTACTGAAATCGTTGCATTTGATTCGCTGAGAGCAAATTTGTCATAGAAATTTAGCGTTTGTTATTGATAACAAGTTTTATGAAACAGGGCCCAGGTCTTTGGAATACATTGAAAATATGTTGAAAATAGAAATAAATACAAAACGGATAAAAAGGCAAAAATGGTACAATACTACCGGTAGTCAATCACCTTCAGACAAAGTAGGGGAGGGGGGGGGGGGGGGTGGCTACAATGAGAGTTTGGTTTGATATCATGCAAATCATAATCGCTCTCTGTCTTTGTGCTTCTTGGAGAAAGGGATAACAAATACCAATTCCCTTTGAAATAAAGCTATCAGTAATGTACATGTATGCCGATGCTAGACTTAATTAGGGGGGATCCCCGCTGTGTCGTAGAATGGTAGGAGAAGGTCATTGTGCTGTGCACCTGAACAAGTGCACCGTAGAAACATATCAAAACATGCTCCTGCCCATTTAATGGTATATCACTTCTTCAGATACATATACATACAAGCAGATGAATAATCAAGCTTCGTGATAGAATTAAGGTTGAATCTTAACATTAAAATAGTTAAAATATAATTTTAGTATTGAAGTAGCAATTACTTCATTACTTTTAAAAAAAGAAGGAGAAAAAAAAAGAGAGCCCCGAAAAATGGTTGTGCCTGACAGACAAAGTATTGTTAAGAATATCAGTAAAAGTTATAAAGAACAGGAGATAGTATCAAGCTTGTAAACTCATTAAAAATGATTTAAAACAAATCTTAAATTATTGATATAACTTGCAATTGTTACAGAAGCAAAACAGGGTAGAAACGATATATACTTCCAGCATAATTATGTAGAGATTGCTCTTTTACTCTATTTGATGACATACAAGAGAAAAATCCCCCAATTTCTTTTAAAGCAAAATGGTAAAGAGTAATATTGTAGTATTCTGAACGAAAAAATAGGCAAGTTGTGTCAACAAGGTTTAAGGACTTATTATTATAAAAAACTGAATGTTATCAGCTTGTTAGCTGCCTCGGTCAGTATTCTGAATAACCCATTCAATCACTCATAAACATGCTTTCGACTAAATCAAATGATCTGCTTGTATCGTATCAATAGATCAAAAGAGTCAATTTTAGGCCGTCGATTGACATAGACTGGCGACATGAGCGCTTTCCCATATCACACTCATGTTACTCATGAGGTTTGTAAAGACATTGCTTCCCTTCAAAGAAAAATAGATTTCAACAGCTCTAAAATAGCTCCATCAAACAACACATTTCTCAAAAGCACATGACTAACATGAGCATCGCAATGTTTACAAATGCTGATTACCTCTTAAGACAAAGATTTCGACGACTCTAAAATAGAATCAACCAACTATCACTGTCCATTACGAAAGCATGGTGATTACACAAGCATCTAGGTGGAACATGAGGGGTATATTATGAATAATCCTTTAAGTAGTCCTGTTTTTTAAAAGAGATAGCAATAGGAAAAGCATCGAGTCGGCACACAAGACCTTATTATTCCAGCTATCCCCCTTCCTAGTAAAAAGTGGGTAATAGCATAGGATCTAGGCCAGACAGGAGAATGTATTATAATCCAAATATCACTTGTAAGTAGACAGTTCAAACACAAGCATCTGGTTGACGAGTGAGTTCACATTAAATCCAAACTATTCCTTTTTCTTGTACAGGAGGGTGAACATAAGCAATAAGTCGACGCAGAGAAGAATACAATCCTGGCTATTCTTTCCTTGCAAGAACACGGTAGTAACACGATCATCGGATGCACCTAGGACAGGGGACGTTTCTAATCCTGAATACCAGTACCTAGATTCCTCTTGAGAATATGATATCAACACAAGCATCTAGTCAACTTCCCAGGGGTGGTCATAATCCGGATTATCTTTATTCCTCGTGAGAGTATGATATTTAAAACAAGCACATGGCCAACACCAGAGAGGTTCTTTTAATCTGAAAAGTATCCCTTGTAAAAGCGTGTTGAAAACACCAGCATCTCTCCGGCACGGGATGTTATAATCCTCAATAACTCCATGCCTTGTGAGAGTACGAGGTTAACAGGATCATCAAGTTGGCACGAGGGAGGCTGTACTATGAATAATTGTGGTGTGGGCTCCTCGTGGCTAACTTTAGCTGAAGATAACGAGACAGCACATCCTAGGGGGTGTGCGCTGGTTAAACAAGGAACTGCTCATCGATGAGGCTAACTTTAGCCAGAGATAACTAGACAGTGTCCTTCTGCGGCAAAAGGTAGCAAGTCACTTCACTATGAGGTCAAGAATTAGAACAACTGCCAGAATACTCCACCACAGAAACAACCCTAACCCTATCTCTGACCCTACTACTAACCCTAATCATGATTTTAATCCTAACCCTGACACCGACTCAATCATAACCCTAAACTCCCAACACATTATCCCAATGCAAGGTAAGGCATTCTGCGGTAAGGGACCAATATTGGAGGGAAAGCCCCCCTCCCCTCCCTCCCAAAAGAACCCTCCAAGCAAATTTGAACAAATCCTATAGTCGATGAGAAAAGCTGTTCCAATTTTCATTTTAGGAAATGCTTATGAAGCAGATCAAGTGTCCATGGGTCAAACAAATTTTTACTGTGGTCCCTCAAATTTGAATATTGTCACAGGGGGCCTATAGATACAGACCATAACAATTCCAATCTGGACGCTTCACAAAAGATAAAAGTCTTGAGTACTGTGTATAGGGGTGCTTCTGTAATAGTAATAACAGCTACATTCATACAACTAGTGCACATATCCATTACTGGGGATGTTCAAGGCACCTACAAAGTACTTTCATTACGCCGGCTTTAGCCCAGCTGCCTAACATCCTGAAAGCATTCAAGAATAACTTCCTACCAGGTACCCGTTTACTACACCTGGGTGGAGAGTGGCACATGTAGATCAACGTCTTGCCAAAGGACATTAGTGCCAGGCTGAAACTCGAACCACAAACCATGTGATCTACAGTTCGGTGACGTATCTGCTAGACCACAACACTCTACACATCCACAATACTGGGTTTCTTGAAGATACACGGTACAAAAACTGCACTATGTCGCTTGAGTCCTTCTGCCGTTGAAGGACGTCGCATCCTTGTGGGTTGTTTTAACAAGAGGGAAGAGTCAATCCTGTCAAGTAACAACAGGAACTACGGACATGACGAGAAGGGCCAATTCACAGTGAGGACTGATCCCTCCCTTATCCCTTCAGTCGTGATTAATTAGGACCATCAAAGTGACCAGACAACATGCTATGGAATAACTCATCACAGACAGGGATACGAAGGGCTAGTGATCAGCTCATCTGTATTATCAAATTGGCAACACTGGTATTTTGTCTTTTTTGTTATTTTGTTAACGATTCACTTGCCCAGGACAGTGATTTTTTTTAAAGGGTGAAATTGATCATCTTTTCTTCATTCTAAAATTGGTAACACTGGTATTTTTTTCTAAAGATTATCTCACCCAGAACAGGGATTTTTGAGGTCCAAGTTGATCAGCTTTTTAAAATGAATTGGCAACAATTTTAAAACAAAACATGTCATGTTTGGTCGAGACAACATGCTATAGAATAACTCATCCTAGACAGGGATACAAAGGGCTATATTGATCAGCTTTCCTCCATTATCAAATTGGCAACACTGGTATTTTGTCTTAGGATTATCTCACCCAGGACTGTAATTTTTTTTTAAGGGTGAAGTTGATCATCCTTGCTTTTTTTTCTCAAATTTGCAACACTGGTATTTTGTTTAAGGTTTATCTCATCTAGGACAGTGATTTGTAAAAGAGTGAAGTTGATCATCTTTGCTTTTTTTTCTCTAATTGGCAACACTGGTAAAGATCAACTCACCCCGAACAAGGCTTTTCTAAATGATCAAATTGGCAACAATTCTTCTTCATTCTATGGCTACACTTTTAAAATAAAAAGTCATGTGATGGCGAAAATCATCCAACGACGATGGAAACGCCATTAATCTCAACAACAACAACAACAAGAAGCATGAGATGACTTACAAGATGATAAAGGGCAATTAGCAGTGAGGACTAAGCTCTTCCTTGTCTCTTCAGTCATAATTAATTAGGATCATTATGGTGACAAGATCTATCTAAACTTCTTGATAAATGGACTGTAAGGTAGTTATTGCCGTCCAAAATATCAAATAAATGTCAACCTCTTCTACACACTTCACAACTATACATAAACAACCTTGCTCATAAACTATAGCTATTTACAAAAAAATATATAAAAATTGTCTAATATCTATATTCTGAACGGTCCCACTCATCTATACACATCTATTGAATATCTAGAGAAACAGACCCTTTCTCGTTTTGTTATGGCATCGTATGACATTTTATCCTTCTTGCGTTTGAGAGTGCTAAAATGGGCCTCCCTCTCTTGAAGTTGACTGAGCTCACTTCTGTGTTCCCCCTCCAGTAGGGCCGCTTCCAACTCCAACTAAAATGGGGGTGTTGTTGGACATGCCAGACGGAGGGACACAGTGATTGCACAAATTGCACAGAGGGGGTGATGGTGGCATGAGGCAATGTATGTATACATCAATATCAATGGCAAGTATATATGCAAGACCATTGTGATGTCATGCAAGAACCATTGTGATGTCATGCGATGTCAGTCGATGGTGTATAATGCCCAACATGCATTCAATATGCACATCATGTCAACAAATGTATAAATATATATATATAAAATAAGGGATGTGAGATATAAATGTATTGTAAACATGCGTACATCAAAGTAAGAAGGAAAACAAGACAACAATCATTGTTACAATTAAAGAAAACAACAGCAACATCAAATATCAGGAAAAAAACATCATGATTTAATAGAGAAAATAGAAAATGGTGAAGAATTTGGATTAAAACAATGAGAAAACATGAAATTATTAGTACAAAATGTGTTTAGAAAGAAGCAAATATACAATATACAAATTCACAAAAAAAGACATAATTAATAGAATACAATATGAATTGAGATGAAAATGTTTGGATATGAAAATAAGTTTGAGATGTAGAAAGAGGACAAATATTTTTCAATACAATGAGTTAAAAACAAACATAAAAACAGAAGATGGTTAATTAAAAAGTGATGGTACAAGGTAAATGTGAATGACATAATTGAAATAGTTTAGTTAATGAAATGAAATGAAATTTAAGAATATGAAGGAACACAATCAAAAGTGATTTGAAATATGTTAAAACAAGCAGCAAGTATGAAAATTTTAGTTGAAATGAAAAGGAGTTAGGAAATTAAGAAGCATATATCCAACAATGAGACATAAATACAAACAAACATAAAGCAACATATTTAACAACACAATAACAAGGTTGGGGATAAAGAGAAAAGAAAGATTGAACAGAAAGTTAAGCATAAATCAACAAAAAGTAAAGAAAGCCGGGAAAAAGTCAATTAAAATATAAAGTAAAAATCATAGAGCAAAGTTGAAGAAACATAAATAGTAGAAGTGAAAAATAATAAAGAACACAACAAAATAAATTATGCAATAAGCAGAGAATGAAAATAAATCAATACTTTTAACAATTGATTATAATAGAAGAGAGGAAGAAACTCTTAGATACATTCTAAAGTTTGCTTGTTCACAATCAAGAGAAGAAAACAGATTGTACAAGATTTGTTTTCTTAAATACGATAAGACACAGTAGTAATTGCAACTCATAGCAAGGAATGAAGTAATTGAAAGTAGAAAAAGTGAAATGTATGATTCTATAAACTTTCAAAAGTAAGAAAGACTTGGTTTAAGTTACATTCAATTCTTTAAGCAAACCATGAGAAATATTGTTACAGAAAAGAGCTATGACAGTAGAAATGGCAAGCTATGATAATATATATCACTAAGCCCTTGTGCATAAATATTCCATAATAATTGTAATATTAGTATCACTGTAGACCCATAATCATAATTGTCCACTAACAATCCAGAACATCGAGATTAAAGATTCTGCAGGCCGAGGAACAGCATTGCAAGGAGACTGTGCTGAGAACAACGTCTTGCTTTTATTCTTCTCTCTGACCTACTCTATTAGAACAGAAGATATCCCATATGGTCGGGGCATTTTGACAGCGGAAACGATTAGGTAATCAGGTTGGCACATGTCGCTATAAAGGATTCAATGACGAAGTAACCAAACAATTTCATGTGTCACCTTAGGCCAAATGAGCGTCACGTTACTTCCTGAATTTCTGGATCTGGAAAACTGTTCCTTTTTTTGACAAAATGACAGAAAAGGGGAGGGGGGGGGGATGAACCCAGGCAGTTTTTCTCTAACATTTACTCTGGTTTGAATAAATGTTGAGTAACACGTCTGTTTCAAGTTTACGAATTCTAGTTTACGAAACTGAAATACAACTTCCCCTTTAAAAACCAAAACATTCACAAATGTCTTCTGAAACATGACCATGACTAGACCTGTAGATCTGATCTCAAATACGATGAGGCATTCTAACATTGCTTGCTAGGGACACAGGAAAATCCAATTAACACATTATAAGACACGCCAATTCATGTACATGTATTACCTTTCATACTAGTTACAATCATAGTGTATAAATGTTCACACTTTGCATTGCAGTAATTCAATTTATTCTAGGCCAAATTGTCCTATTTCTATAATGGTTGTTATGTTTAGTGCACTAATTAACCAGAAACTTTCATGGCAAGGTTTTTGCTAACAATCTAAAATATTGACAAACATAGAAAATTGTGCCAATCATACATTCTAATACTAAATCAATAATTCCCTACAAATTAATTATATGTATTCTTTGCTGCAATAATATGACATCAATAATGTAAACTGTAACTTCTACCCTTATGAATAACATTATTCTTACTGTTGCTATACTTGAATATTTGTTGAAATAACTATTGTAGGAATTTATTATGTAGGAATTTAATATGGTAGATACTTTTAACTTTTCCCAACCTGACTGTCCACTACTTTAATCCTATCTTGATGTGGTACAAGATGATATCTGTAAACTTAATGCTAATCCTATTCATATATAAATCTATGAGATACAAATCAAAGACAATTAAACAAATAAGTGCTCATTAAATTTAATTTTTTGGCAACATTCTGCCTCTGTAGGTGTAATTAATCTTCTTTTTCTGGAATTAGGATTTATCAATGAACTTCTATAGAGAACATAGAATGCTATGTGTACAGCTGAATTTATTTTCCAGGAGTTCTATATAATTATGAAGACTTTAATCCACAAGTTAATCCATGAATTAATCCAAGAGAGGAAGATAAGCCTAGGATTAATCAAAGCTCATTCATGTTGAGCTCACAATAAAACAGGTGTCAGACAATACTCAGAAGTTGTCTGTCAAGAACTGAAAGGGCTTTATATACCTTTCCATAGTAATAATACCCTTCTTGATCTTGGCTATTAATACCATCCATTCAGAGCCAAAAAGGCCTTAATTCCATCTTAAAAGTACATGTATATGAGATTAACTAATTTCTATTTTTTTGATACACATTGGTTTTTTAAACTTCCTTAAAACCTCTTTTGTATTCTCTTCTAAACGGGAATCACATAATGTGTATTTGTCATTGTACTCTTCTTTGTTCTGTACAATTCTGCAGTGGCATTATCTCCGCTATTGTTCAACCTGCTGTGACATGGCCTTTGTTATTGTTCAATCGATGGAAAACGGATTTCTGTTGCTTGACAAGATGAGTCAATAAATTCAGAAGGATGTTATTGCTCTTACTGGTAACAAGTGAAGGTCCTTATGCCTCCCAACAGACTATCTGCCCATTTTTTCTTCAATTGGTGTTTATCAAAGAAGTGAAATAAAGTGTTCTGTGAATATTTCCTAGAGCTTCTTTGTGTCTAGTTAACAAATAACTTAACTATTCACCTGTTTAACAATACAATCTGAAATATATGAAAAAGCGTTAGTATTCAATATTCCAGACAAAGAGTTTTCAAGAATATCAATTAATCAGTTGAACGAAAAGCTTAATTAAAAAAAAATGTAGACTATGTAGGATGCACAGGGCTTTGTCATTGGCCGAATTTTGTTGAAAATGAAGTTGCAACGTGCATGTACTGTGTAGAACATTATCATATTGTTTGAAAGGAAAAATAGTTTTGGTTATTCTGGGATGAACTTCCATGTAAAGGTAGTTTATTGAACAGAAATAAAGAATAAATAACAAGACAAGAGTATCCTTTGAATGATATCAAAGGGATAATCCAGATATTCTTAATAACCCTATAACTTGATAAAAACAAGCCAAGCCATTGTCAAAATCCATCATCCAATATAACAAACCGTAAATTATCACAAAAGCTGATTTTGTGCTTACCGTATGTTTGACAGAATCCATAGAATTAGTCCAAAACCCCATCGTAAGACACAATCTCATTGCCAAAACCTGTCGGAGAAAGGGCGATTTTTCTTCGGTGGGGGAACCGAGTTTCACCTATGCGGCGAGCGCGGAGGGTGAAGTTACCGTGAGGAGGATATACTCATTTAGAAAAAGGGCAGGCTTGAATTTCTAGCTATGAATTGGATTCAATCAATTAGTCATGAGGGATTTTTGCAAGGAGACAACTGCAGAGAGGAGATTAAAGTATTCTCAGCCGAACACATGAACAGGAGCAATCGATAGACTCTTCCAAGGAGTTTTAAAGAGGGAAACTGATTTTGGGGCATGTCTTTATGCATTTGCTTTCTGATTGTATTTGTTTGTATCGTAGCATGATTTTTTCTCCACATTTTTTGCATTTATTTGGTTGACGACAACTGCTCACTCTTGGCTTGTTTTTGTTAACTTTTCAAAACAAAAGGATTTTATTTCAAGATTCTTACAAGAATAAACAATCAGTCTAACTACATATAGAGGTGTAATTGTCGAGTGGATACGTTGTTGGACTGTGGATCTCAAGGTCTGCGGTTCGAATCCCACCGCGGCACTAATGTCCTTTGGCAAGACATTAATCTACATTTGCCACTCTCCACCCAGGTGTAAAATGGTACTGGCAGGAAGGAATTACTTGAATGCTGTGAGCAACAAAACCAGTAGCCTAGCAGAGCCGGGTAATATTGGGGCGCCTTGAGCACCTTGCATGGTGGATATGTACGCTATATAAGTATCCAATATTATTATCGTTATTACATGTGCATTTCTAGGCAGTAAATCTTACAGCTTATCATCACTCCAGAGCAAGAAGAGCATTAATTCTGTGTTAAAAGATTCAAGTCAATGCCCTTCTGTCTCCAAATAGACAATATCAATATCTTTCAATTTTGTTTTATAACTTAATATAAACTCAAAACAACTTGCAATCAGCGTAAGATAGATACAGGCAGTATTCAAATTGAAATAAACCTTTAGATCCTTAATGAAAGGAGAGAATGTAACATATTGCACCTTAACTGAGATTTTCTCTTTAAAGATACCCTATCATGCCATCGTATGGAGGAGTGAAGTGATAAACTTCTGTTGCTAACTTCAACAGCTACTCTGAGCTTTATATCACTACACCTAACAAAAATTGTCTATTAGTAAACGGGAATGACTATCTACCGATATGCTAGAAATGGATTGGAAAGTATTCAATTAATTGAAATGATCCGGGCGGGGGGGAAGTCTGTAACAAAATATGGAAGTCACGATGGGTGAAGTTAGCAGACACTTGCGGGGGTGCTAGAGGACGGGTTGCTGGGTGTTTAATCGCTCAGATTTAGGCACAGCCATTCTCACTACCAGATAGGAAAGTGTTTTCTAGACGTGTTGAAGTTTTCAAACAACAACAGATGGTTGATCCTATTCATTTCCTTCATTTTTTGCGCGCGTAAAGGAAGCCCTGTTCACGTATACTGTTGTAAAACCCCTCAAAAGAAACCACAGAAGAGAAAAAAAAAAGATGTATCAAAGATCATTTCATATTTCTTTATCTTAAATCCAGATTCTAGGGGGGCCCTTGCATGCAATTAATTTATTCTCAACTTTACTTGGGGGGGGGGGGGGGGGGTGGGTAACCAGTTGTATAAAATGGAAGAAAATCTTATGAAAAAGGGAATCTACATTGCGTACAGTGTTGTCATTATTTCCTTTCCCTCTCTACATTTCACCCCCCCCCCTTTATAGGTGACCCTAGCATTGTCACTCTTTAGTCATAACATATCCTTGTTTTGTTTCAATATAAAGCAAAAAATTCTACCTAATCTATTTTAAAAATTCTATGAATATCTATAAACTGATTATTTCTGTGCCTTAAAAACATAATTTAGAAGATCGCATTAGTATTTCTTTCACAAAAAAATCTTAAATAGGTTACCCTTGATTACATTAAAGCCCCACTGCACTACTTACAGCTACTTGCGCCCTCTATATAGCAAACAATGCCTAATTGGTGCCTGTTGGTCCCCCGTGATCCCCTCTTTCTCATGTTAATTGAGAGCTGATTTGATGAGATAACCACCTGTCAGTGACCTTGCAGGGAGGTCTAATCCTCCTGGCCAAACTAGTGCAGATTGGCTTTAAACATTTGAAAGAAGGGCAGAGTGACCTACATCACAAAAAGGATGTAAGGAAGGACTAATGACCTTCTTCCTCTAACTCCAAAGACCCCAGGCCATTTTGTATATACAAGCTACCATCAACAAATACTTAACCCCGGAAATGATGGAAAGCGCTTCCCCATTAGCCACGAAGGACACGGATGAGCTTGATACATGATGAACAGGAATTATAACAGTTGGGTCTTCTAGGGAAAAGAGTCAAAACTTAAGGTTCCCTGTCTCCATGAGCCAGAGTTGGTCACCACAGTTATTAGCTTGATCAGTTGTGATCAGACAGATACCCCCAGAACAGAGTAAAGCTGTAACTTAAAGTTAGAGATGCAGGCTAATGAAAATAGGCCTAATGTTAGGACACTAAGTTCCCTGTTCCCATGAGCCAGAGTTGGTCACTACAGTTATTAGCTTGATCAGTTGTGATAAGGCAAATACCCCTGAAATAGAATTAAGCTGCAACTTAAAGTTAGGAGTGCAGGCTAATGAGAACAGGCCTCATGTTACGACACTATGTCTTCACCAGCTTCCGAAGAGCATGTTAACAACAACCTCTAAGGTCACTCTGCGAAACAAAACAAACGTCTCTGTTCCACCAAACGGTAGCTCATCAACAACCCCCTCCTCACCCTTCCTTCCAGGCCCTCTCTGGAGGGTACAAACAGAGTGCCTTCTTCGGTCAACTCCGACCGCCTAACAAGCCGTAACGGGCTCTTTCCTGGGCGTGCGACAGGAAGAGCTTGGGCAAGGTTATCCAGTTAAGAGGGGTTTGATGATAAGCTCTTGGCCCAGATTTGGAGAGAAGAAAAAGTGGAAGTCCAAGATGCTATCCATTTCAAATTGTTAAACCATTTACTTCTGAATTCTCTCGATCCCATAGGCTTAATATGTGTCCCACCCGTTACCAGTACGCAATGGGTTTACATTGAAGACTGTACCCTATTATCTACAGTAGACCAGTCAGAATTTATTATTTTGCTGGTCAAAATGAAATTTGTCTTTAGTTCCCTCAGGCTCCTGTTTATGTTTTGAGATAATGTTTGACTTGGGCTTTCTGAAAGATGAAAGACTAAAACTTAAAAATTAACCATTTGAAATAATCTATTTCACCTTTATACTGGTCAGTTCACCATGTAAAGTCTTGGACTTAAATGTCTAGTAATGCTATTTACTATGTATCTTTTTATCGTTTATAGTTTTTATAGATCAAATCCTCTCAATACTTCAACATCATGGGAAATCATCTTAACTTCATTTACTGAAAGATCTTTTAACTTTTTAACCTGCATTTCCCAAAGGTTAGATAAAGCTTTTCTTTGTAATAATCTTTATCTGATTTCAAAGATGCTTTTAGGCACAATTGCAAGCACACATTGCCTGACCGAATTGCCTATCTCCAATTCAACATTTTCCTGAGTATTTTGAATAGTTTCAATTCTGCAATGTTGACTAAATCGTGATGTTGCTTTTTAATTTTATTTTTATGACTCTATAAAACCCCCAGTTTCAGCTTATCTTTAGGAAGTATCTGCTTTTTAAGACATCACAAAAAACCCTACTAGCTCATCTTTTTCCTGACTACTGTACTTTATCTTCACTTAAAAATGCACCATAATTTAATAGCATTGTTAACTTTTAATGGCCATTTCTTTAAACTTTTACGACTTGGGCGACAGAATAAGAAGTGAAATTTCATCTTTGCTATACTGGCATGATGATATTTTCCCCCTATAGTTTCAAATAGGTATCAACAGAGCTTCACATGAAACCGTTGTGAAACATCTATCTTTAAAAAAGACGAGGTCCCAAAATATATTCATATTCATAAACATTTTTTTTCTCCTTCTGTTGACAGAATCTATGGAATTGAACTACTTAATTTAACCAATTGTCTGCTCAGACACTTGTATCACTTAACACAAGATGTTGAAAAAAGAATTCACATTCTTCTGTCTTCTGCTCTCAAAAGACGAGATGCATCCAATGGTGTTTACTTAAGCTGTTGCTATATCAGGCAAGCCTTTGCCATGTATGTGAAATACATGTAAATAATAAATAATAAATAAAAACAGTGCTTATAAAGCGCTTACCACTGAAGTCTCTCTCCGATCTATAACAACTAGAATGGAAACGCAATGATAGGACAAAGGTTAAAGGAATAAAATGATGAAGCGAAAAATGAAAAGATAAGCACCTCTTGGAGTGTTTCGGTTTCCTGGATCTCTAAATCTTCAACGTCGATCTCTAGCTGTTCTATTTTCTTGATGGTCATCACCCTTGCCTCCTCCAGCTTTTGCATTGCCACTGATATCTCATCCGTACTCAGCTGAGGATTGCCAGAGGGGGTGGGTACAGTCATTCACACAGCCAGCATCACAAGGAAGATAGGGCAGGGCGAGCATCGGAGGGGGTGTGGAGAGATTAGAGGAATGGCCGTAGCAATGTCATCAGCATTGGCAGGGAGGGGGAAGCAAGTTGTAAGAGCATTTGAGTAGAAAAGGGGGATAAGAAGGAAATGCAAATCAAAATAAAGAGAATCAAAACAAAATTAGAAGAAAAGGGTAAATCATAAAACAACTGTAAAATTAAGAAACGTAAATTAAAATCAACTCAAAACATTAACAACACTTTGGTTTAACAAAGAGAAACTGAACAAATAGAAAGTATATAACTGAGGAAACAATTACAATAATACCAAATAATATTTTAAATAATAAGATGGTTTCAAATTTTTTGAAATTTTTTTGAACCGTAAACAAAAATAAAAGCTGAAATCATAAGACAATTACGCAAAGAGAAAATAAGGTTCACAAATAGTGAGAATTAAAAGGGAAAGAAATAAATTAAAAAAAGGTAGTTTCAATTTCTATACCTTCCCATCACAATTTTGACATGAATAACTGAGGGGGAAAATTTTTCAAAACCAGGGTATCCTTTCTCCCACATTTTTTTTCTAATGAAAAAAGGTTACTGGTACATTTGTCAGAAAAGAGCCGGAAAAACAGTTTTCTGGTATCAAATTACAGAACAGAAGGAAACCTCATGCATCCACGTACAGCTCATGCTCTAATCAAGTAGAAGATGCAAATTATTTCCATGGACCACTGACAATTTGTAAGTAGATCATAAGAAGTACCAATGCACTCAGTCACCTACCAATGGAGGAATCAGGTGACACGTCACATGACATATCACATGATGTGTCACCTGACCATGCAAGGCTAGGATGCAGTTGCATTGTACTCACCATCTCATCCCCAGCTTTCATATCCTCGATGCCATCCAGACTAGACCGGCTTCGGGGTGGCTTTGGCGGTGGTGAACCTTCATCCCCACTCCTGGTGTCTTCTGCTGCTGCTTTAACCGCTGAGGAAACTTCTGCTTTGGCTTCCTCTGCTTTGGCTTCTACAGCTCTGGCTTCTTCTACCTTGACAGCTCCTGCGACCACGTCTGCAGGAGCATTGCTGTCTGGATCCTTCAGCTTCTCAAACCAGACCCTTGGAGGCTCGTTCTCCGTCACAGACAACGTAGAGGAAGCGGACACTGTGGATGACTCGGACACTACCTGGGCAGGGATGGCGTCACGTGCTGCATCAACTTCATCCATGTTTGTTTCAAGTACTGATACATTAGTCGGGAATGCTGGAAATGCTTCGAGCGGGAAAGTGGGCGTGTGGACATCCCTTGGCGTCGAGGAGCCACTCTCGATGGTGCTGTCGCTGAGTTCACTCTCGCTGGGTTTTCCGCTTGTCTTTTCGTGTTTGATCTGTTCCTCGTACTCCGCGCAGATGTTGAGGATTTCCTCCATGCGAAGCCGCTCCAAGGTGGCCATCTTCTGCTCCTGTTTGCGATCCTCGACAGCCATCTTGTGCTGCATGCAAAGCTCCTTCTGCTCGGGATCCTCAAACTCATCAGGGTCCAGGATCAGTGTATGCCGTGGCTCTTCTTCATTCACAAGCCTACTTAGCTCCGGTGGTAACACCCCTGATCTTATCTCTGGAGGGGTATCCGCTTTAAACCTGAGGATTGCATCCCCGTTCAATTTCGAGTTGGGCACAGATGTACCTACTTGAGTTATAGGAGTATGCAGTTGACTTTGTGAAGTCAACATGACGTTTTGTCCAATGATTTCAGAACTTGATGAGGATGCTAGGCTTATTCCTGACTGTTCTGACCCAGATGACCCTCGTTCCGTTGCATTACTTGTGACTGTGGTCAGGGATGTTGAGCTAAGGCTGGATCCGCTTGAGGAACGATCCATCTGATCCGACTTCTTGGGAGGTGTTTTGTTTGAATACAGGCTGCTTTGTCCAAGTTTGACCCGACTTGGTGAATGAGGTCCTCTTTTGTGTTCTAGAGTCCCATGGGGACTTGTTGTAACACCCACGTGAAGCTTCTTTGAAGATCCCCCTTCACTGTATCTCACTGAGTCCTCAAACTTTGACCTGATAGCACTGACAGGGGGTTGGTAATCATTTGTGGCATTTGTTCCATCACTTTCCTCAAAGTCATCATCACATATTGCCGTCTCACGCATCTCCATGGAAGTCCCAAAGGGAAACATCGTAGTACCACTACTATTCTTTCCTGTGTCAGCCCACACATCCGGGTTAGCTGACAAGCCAGAGATGGGAGAAAAGACGGCATCGTTCTCGTCTTGCTTCTCGGGCGATTCAGACAGAGCGTACTTATTGCAGTATGTCTCCGATAACAGATCCTCATCGCTAGAAACCTGTCGCATTATCTCTCTCAGCTCTGCTTCAATGCTCTCCTCCAGAGGGCTCTTCACGATCGCATTGTGATTACTGTTTGTATTGTTCAACCTGAGATGCACTGGACGACCTGATGGTGTCATCGCTTCCGTGAAACCAACGCTGTTGTGCGTCTCTCCATTTTCCTGATGATTTCCATTCTGTGCATCTGAGCCGTACGTTGTCCTGACACCATTGTCGATGCCATTCCTTCCCATGAGGTCTTGCTTGAGTTGTTTGGCCTCTGAGGGGTTGTTGAAGCGAAAGAAGCAGGATTTGCCAAAGCACAACATGGCTCCTGAAGAAGAACAGAATCAATTAAGACAAAGCATTATATCATGAGCATAAATATGAGACTTTCTTACATCATCTCTGATCTTGTGCTATTTGAGCTTGAAAAGCCTCCCAGTAGGAGCTGATGGGAAGAAAGAATCTCTTGGTCAATTCCAGATTAACGGAATGACATTCCTAGAGAATTTTTCTACGTTGAACAAAGAAAATTATTCACATTTCAATAAAAACCTATATATTAATGACTTGATATATCAAGTAATCATGAGTTACTTTCAAAACGTTTAATTTTCCTGTCAACCATTCATGAAACTTATGAAATAATGAATTTTACATAGGTTTGTTACAGATTGACACAGGAGGCCATTTTTGGGCCATTCTGTAACACAGCGATTTAAAACTGGTGTAAATGGGTACCTGACAATGCTGATAATAAATATCTAGGGGAGTGTTTTACAAAGACTGAGATCCACTTTAAGTTGAAATTGAACTATGGCAGGCCGTTCATGTCACTTGTTCCTCTTACCATTCCTGGTATTGGTTTCTCTAATGGTTGAATCGTGGTCACAAATCTACAGAATTTATCTTTTTTTATAGTTTATTATTGGAGGAAAATTCGTATCTAAAGATCATATTTGAGAGACCAACGGCATGAATAGCCTCCAATAGTTCAAGTCCTACTTAAAGTCGATCTTAGTCTTTGTGACACCCCCCCCCCCCCCCCCCCAGGGCCCATAGGAAGGGCAGTATCAATACTGATGTGGCTACCCTAGGAAAACAAGACCCGATAAGGTGGGACACCATTGCCTGCGATGACAAATTTAGATTAATGTCTTGCCCAAGAATCAGTATAACCATGACAGGGATTCAAACCATGTGGTCTCAGCTTGACAACAACACCCCAAATATGTAACCTATCCTAACTCTGTGACGTAACTAACCCTTTGCTTACCGGAACCTGGTGGTCCCTGTGTTAAGCCTATGGGTCCTATACAATTCAGTAGTCAACAGGTTTACAGTGACGTTTACCTTGAGTTAGTTTGGTAGGACTTGTGATCCTATCCCCGTCCACACTGCAGGCCCCTATAGGGTAGAGCACGACGGTGTCGTTCAGGTTCTCTACGCAGCAGTGCTGCGGTAGTACATCTCTGCCCGTGATGAGGACGTCCTGCCTCACGCTGGCTTCGTTGGTTCCAATGTTTGTCTTGCCTGAGGTGAAGAAAATTTAAACACAGAAAAGGAATTTGTTAGTACAAGGAGACTAGATTCAATGGAAAAGTGGAGAATAGACTTAATAGATTGTGCAGATAGTTAATTCCCAGTCCTAAACTTCAAGATAACCTCAAATTTTAAAAACACAAGCTAAAATGAAGTTTACAGACTGTTTTGAGTTCTGACTCATTGCTGTATCAAAGATCGATCAAAGATGTTGCTTCGACGAACATCTTTCTCATCAGAACATGAGGGGAGGTATAACCTGATGAGCGAGGAAGATTTGAGGACCTTCTGGTCATCCTAGTAGCTTGAAGGATCAAAGGACTTTGCAAGATAAAGGACTTGTCACAAAGAGACTGCTTTTCCTCACAAGTTAATGTTACAGGACACGGATTATCAGACTTTCTCACTTACAGAGAAAGTCAGAAACATGAAGACTACTGCTGCACCTTTCAAAAGCTAGGATTGCAATCAAAGAATGGCCATTTATTTCCATTGCGTATGAATTGTGATGATCTAGCGATTTCAAGCTTTCCAGAAAATCTTTCAAATAAAGAAAGAGAATTTCTTTGGTAATTATTAAATTTATGATATCATATCATGACAAACACTTGGACCCATACAGCATGATAACAAGAATATTTGGAAATCGACTCAAGGGCAATATCGATACTTTAATGTTCCGTTTGTTTAAATCATTTTCTGATTATGGAATTGTAATGAGCACACATGTCAAAGTACAAGGCTCTTCGCTTGATTTCTTAAAGTTCTTTGCGATCAGTCATCCTCTACTGCTTCAGATTCCAATGACCTGAAAGTGATTGAAAATATGCGATAGTACCTACATGTAATAAGAAGCATGGGAGAAACCAATTCCTCAAAGTGTTTCAAACAGCTTCTACTTGCCAACTCACTACAGCCCCTAGTCTCTAGACAACGGCACAGTCTCTAGGCATCAACCTGCTTTAACCGATTAATCTACTAATCGCTTTATTAAGTTACTACTCAATGTAGGGGTACAGACTAGAGGGGGGGGGGGAATGTTACCCCTCATTTGACAGACGATTGGTGACATATTGGTCACTTTCCTTTAATGACATCTGAGGGGGAAATTTGCAAAGTCATGAACTAGCTTCCCTAGTATACAGTCCCTAATTTCTTTGATATTCCATGAATTATCTGTAATAAATTTGACAGAAACGTTTTTGCTCATTCAAGAAATTACACTACTCATTCTCAAACTGTTATGGTTTTCCAGCATTCTTAAAAGTTATGTCCACATGAATTGAACTTTCAAAGTAACCAATAGCCTTCAAACAAGTCTGAAATATTCATTAAATGACACATCTTCCAAGATGTATTATTGCACATTGCACAAGTCTCAGATTTATGTAGCTGGTTAACATCAAACCGAATAATTTTTGAATAACCACAAAACATGCAGGATTATTTGGAGCCAGAAGGGCGTTAACTCTGTGTACATTTACAGGAGTTATGCCCCGTCTCCCAACAGACAATATAGCTAATATGATTTTAAGAATATGTCAGCTTTGACCATTATAATGAATAAATCCACTTTAATATAATTGTGACGTCTGACAGACACGAGTGCTTTACAAGAATCCAATAATATTATTATTATTAGTACTAATGGTTCTGAGGCTTTCAAGTAATGTTTCTATCATTGGTTTTAAAGTTTATGAATTAACATTTGATTGACATCATGCTTCTAAAATGACTGAAAAATTAAACCGGAAGTGTTGCTAATTGTGACAAATATGATGAGACGTATCTCTGCCTGTAGAAGTTTGAAATGAGGCCAAATATTATCATCTTCATGTGTAGCTAATTTGAGGATTCACCCCTAAACAATGATTCAGTTTTTATCGGCAGGCTCACATGTTTTTTCCATGATGAATTACAAAATCATGCATGTGCCGGATGGCGGAGTAACTCAGATAATCAGTAATGTTTATCAGCAAATGTATCACCAATTTGAAGGAAAAAAAAGAAGAAAATTAAAACAAGTTTCTTCATGAGTTCACGTCTCGGATGAGAAGGCACTTTACACAGAAGTTGATGCCCTGATAATGCTGTTCAAATTGAGAGAGAGGGGAAGAGAGAGGGGAGAGAGAGAGTGGGAGAGTGGGAGAGGGGGGAGAGATAGGGGAGAGAGAGAGAGAGAGAGAGAGAGGGACAGGGAAGGAGGAAGAGAGAGAGAGAGAGAGAGAGGGGGGGGGGGAGAATTGAAACCTGACAGAAATGCTTTGTCACAATTCATTATTCCATAAGGAAATACTGCAATCTGAAGATATTAAGATCAAGAAGAAGAACAGTCACATTTACAGGAAAAATTAAACATGAGCAGAAACTAATTGACAGAGAGAGAGAGAGTTTAAAAAGGGCTTAGTAGAACTAGACTTTCAATTACAGGAGAAAGGGAAAGATTTTAAAGATCTTTACAAAGTTCTTAATTTGGTTTCACTATTAAAATGTGCAATATCATTGAGCCCAAAGGGTGACTGGGGAATATTTGTTTCACATCAATTCAAAAGAGGCAATCAGATTTGTCCTACTATTCTGTATTGATTTCCAATACACGTTGTCATTGTTCCATGACCAAACACCAATGTCAACTTCAGGACCCCGTTTCATAAAACTTGTTATCAATAACAAATGCCAAATCTCTATGACAAATTTGCTCTCAGCCAATCAAATGCCACGATTTCAGTAGCTTATAACAGTTATCATAACTTGTTATTGATGACAAGTTTCATGAAACAGGGCCCAGTTCGTTGAAGGGAAGCCCGAGTCCAAAGGGGTGAAGTGATGTCATACTTGGAATATACTTCTTAACCCTTTGCTTACGGCAACCTGGTGGTCCCTGTGTTAAGCCTATGGGAATTAGATAATTCAGTAGTCAACAGGTTAAAACCCCTATCAGGGATTTGGTAGCCCTCAAAAACTTATCTCAAATGTATCTGAAGCAGCAAGACGAGTTTATGAAAGTATGTGCAATATTTCAGATCAAAGGGCTCTGTGTTTTTTTTCTCTATGAATGTAAATTTAAGCCCTCGTTGTGAGCACAACAAATGGGATGAATAAAACAATGCCAGTTGCACAATTCAAAATTGAAAAGAAAAAGTGACTGTAACTTTGCAAATTTTCTTTCGCTACCATACTTTTGGGGAAAGGTTTTAATTATGATCTTTACCACATTTTAGCCCCCTTTTTTTCACTGAGCGAATCCCTGCAACGCCCTTTAGTATATACTACTTCTTACTAGTTGGTTTAGAATGCAATTTATACTTCATATTCTTATTATATTCTGTGGTCTACTTAATTAGTTCACATAAAGGATGAGAAGGCACTTTTTACAGCAGTTCATGCCCTGATGAAGCTGGTTAAATTGATAATTTTTGATAATTTTTTATAAATTTCAATAAGTTTAATCTCTGTTTTTCATCTCATTCTTCTAACCTATTCTTATAATATCTGTAAAGCACTTAGAGACAGTATTTTGTATTAATAAGCGCTCCATAAATCCAGATTATTATTATCATTAGGTACTATCTGAAGGAGAAAATACATTAAATACAATATCAAATGAATCAAATTCCTATAAATTCAATATTCAATAACATAATAACTAACAAATATGCTCTATTGTCAATACCAAGTTACAAATTATTATTAGATTAGATACATACACATGTCAAAGTATAAAGCAGTACGTTCAATATACTGTGCTAGTATAAATACTGTCGATTGGTGTCACGATCATGGACCTATTGTCTCTCTCTTATCAAATTGAATGCATACCAGAGATAACATACACGATAGTGAACAAGCAATTGTTTTACAAACCCTGCAAAACAGAGAGCGTTTCAGCTTGAGAAAAAAAAAAAAAGAACAAATATGAAAACTTACTGTAAAACAAAAGCACTGATTATCTCCAAAATAAATCTTCCCAAATCTTAAAATCTTCCCAAATCGCCGAGACACCATCCCCTCCAAGCCACTCTCGAACAATGAGTAGTTTCCTCCTAACACTATAGTCCCAACAATGCAGTCAACTCGGGGACAATACACGCTGGACTCATTAAAAGCGGCGTTTAGCGCACAATGTGTCATCTCCCTCTCTGTAGTCTGTAAACAAAAACAGCTAACGATCGATCGATCGAGTCAGTCGCACGTCGCCTCCCCGCTTTCCTTCACCAGTCAGCGTTTGCACTTGTTGTCTAAGTAAACTACCAGGATGGTTTGCGTCGGTGTGGTTGAACGCACAAGTAAGTGCTAGACATCATGATTCAAAGTACCTTACTCACCCGTGCTTTTTCTTATTGTTGTTAAATGTTGTGTGAAAAATTGGTTAAGATAACGCAGGTCCCATAAATCAAATTCTGTGATGAGTCATTCTATAAAAAAAAGAGAATGCTACAAAAATCTCCTTTTTGCTATATTTTTTGTAATAACTATACAAACCTTAATTCATCCGTATATATCTTTCATTATTTGGGAGGTGAGGCTTTACTGAAACTGATATTGAACTTAAAGTAAAGAACCGTTACTGTCAACTGTTGATTAATTCAAATGCTTGAATCAAACAATTTCTTCATTTAATCCATAACAATAACCCCTTCTTCACAGATTCTTCACAGTGTACCTTTCATTATTTTTGGAAGGTGAGGCTTCACCAAAACTGAACTGATATTGAACGTAAAGTAAAGGACTGTTACTGTCAACTGTTGATTAATTCAAATGCTCGAATCAAAGAATTTCTTAATTTAATCCATAACAATAACCCTTTCTTCACAGATACTTGAAATTGTAATTTAAAAAAAGATAGATCATCAATCAGCAAAAAATGATCGCAAATACCTCAAGAAATCGACCCAAGGCAATAAGATGAGCAGATCTATCAGAAATAATTATTTGTTTCCCATCAAAAAATTCACTTAAGTATTGAATTATTTAATCCTTTACTTGATTTGTTGATTTTCTGGTCTCCACATTCACAAAGTCATGAGCATCCAGAGACATCCTTTGTCCTTCATAGATGGTTGCATTATGTATGAAATGCTGCATTCAAGAGACATAATTAAACAAACCTCAAGAGTATCAATTGAAGCACATCCTTCGATGTTGATCTTTGCTTGCGGTATACTGAAAATTCTGGTCAGTTTCTTGTGTGCAACTCATCATATTTGAAAAAATAGATCCATTAATCCTTGATTATTTTGTCTTTCAAATCACAAAGTCACCATACAAATCCAAGACTGTAAACCAAAGCATATCCTCTGCTAATGATCTACACCAAAGCGTTATACTGAAAATTTCAATAAATTCTTTGTATGCACCTCATCATATTTCAGAAAAATAGTTTGCCTAATCCTTGATTGTTTTGTCTCCCAAATCAAAAAGTCACCATACAAATCCAAGACTGTAAACCAAAGCATATCCTTTGCTAATGATCTACACCAAAGCTATACAGACGCTTCCTGAATTGCCACCACCTTGATTTTGTGCGTCTCTCACCTGATCAAGCCGAGACAATGATAATGCTTCAAAACACATAGCAGATGGCAACGCACTGCTGGAAAGCATGGAGACTCTACAATGTGACTACTTGGAGTCCTAATTGTTCAGGATGATCGCCTTGTCACGCCTAGCGCTTTATCCTACCATAATTGGCACGAGCTCACTCTGCAGTCCAAAGCGCCCTATAATCCCCATTCAGGGTTCATTAGTATTTTGGTATAACGAGGAGACAAGGGCACTCGTGAAAGAGCCCCTCCGGACTTGAGGATACTTAATCTTGTTCCAAGGTATGACTTAATGTCTCGCAAGAGAATAATTAATTGACTGGACTTTGATATATGTGCTTACTTAGCCTCATTTAAAGCAGGGTTTGACACTTTAACAGAGATCTGGTACACACGAGCCTCTTTCAACTTAAATTCTGGCCCCCCTCCCCATAGTTTTTTTTTTCTTCATTTTAATAAAAAGGAGGACCAAGAATACAGACCCGAGAAATTTCAATCTGAATCCCTTGTATAAGAACTTATGTCAGGAATATAATATAGAATCCATTAATTTTTTTTCTACTGAGTAGAAAGTTAATTTTGCCTTTCAACAAGGCTACAGCTTGGCTTTATATACTGAATAATTAAGTTGTAAACAAAGTAAATCCGCACTATAACATTGCTATCAATGTTTACGCCACAATAAATTACAGAACAGTTAAGACTTCTGCTATGCACCGAATAGCTGCCCTTCTTACAGATGAATGCATAGTGAGCACTGAATTAACATTTACATAGGAGTGTGCCTGTCCTTATCAGGACAAATATGCGAGTTTCAGAAGAAAAACAAACAAATTAACATTCCTAAAAGATAATAATTTCAACAAAGCCTATAAAATTATATTAAAACTTGATTGTTCTCAAGTACAAATGAAAAAGACATTCTTTTTTTTTAGGGGGGGGGGGGGGGTCAATGACGCGTGTGCAGTATCTTAATTAGCACTGAGAATATTTTTGAAACATTGGTTTTTCTCTGTATTAGATGTATTGCACTTATTTAATGTACAAAAATGTTGTCATGAAAACTGAAAGAAAGAAGAACAATGGTATTTGCAAAAATCAATATATGAACCTGAAGGAGTAACAAATATCTTTGGCAGATCGATTCAGGGAACACTACGAGAAATGGGAATTATTTTTTCTCAATAAACATGAATGAAAAGTAGACAAAATAGATCCAGGGAAAGGGGTGAATAGTCTCATTATCTGACTCAATATAACACATCTTCACTGGGAACCAGTTTGTATTTGAAGACAGGGTACGACTTTGACGGTAAATGTGAACAAGGCCGGAGTAATTTAGACAATCAAGAGGCTTGGCTCCAGTAAATAGGAAAGTCAACAGTAATTATCGCTGCTCAAACACAGCTTTAGAGACTCCACGACAAACCCACTTGTAGGCTATAGACTGCAGAGAGCCAGAAGGGTGTTAACTTGTTCCAATTAACACCAGGGGGCGTTTCACAAAGCGTTTTTTCAATGACAAATGACAAAAATCAATGAGAAAATCTACTGATAACCAATCAGAAGCAAGGATTTCAGTAGCTTATATCAAAGACTGTCATTGTCACTGACGACAAGTTTTGTGAAACGGGTCCCAGGTCGAAGCCTGTCTGGTATTCAACAGGTATCCTGTGCTTGGAGCAACAAGGGCATTAACCTGTAACGTTTTGGCACAGAGTTAATGCCTTTTGGCTCCAAACGGGTGATATCAAGTATGAACAATGTGTTGTTTTTTTTGGCCATTTTGGGATGGACTTTGTGGCATGAAATATGACACACTTGACTCTGCCACGAGAACCATTATGGGTTATTGATGATTATCACCATTTCACAACTTCTGCACTACCGGAGTCTTTATTTTCTGGAACAAATTCTTTGTGATGATTGTACAATTTGACAATAGCGTGTATGTAGTCTAAAGCAAAACAAGTTGCATCAGTAGCATCAAAAGGCAAAAAGGAAAAGGAATAGGAAAAAGAAAAGAGAGAGAAAGAGAGAAAGAGAGAAGGGGAGAGGAAAAGAGAAGGGGAGAGGAAAAGAGGAGAACAGACAGAGGGAGGATGGGGGAATGGAGAGAGAGAGAGGGGGGGGGGGGGATAATCTTGAAAAGAAAAGGACAGAGAGTCCCCCCCCCCCCACCCCCCAGATAGTGCCAGTGCCCCCAATGACTGGACCTAAACTACACCAACAAATAACATACAGTGTTAAAATGTCAAAGTTTCAGTATTCAAACCTGAAGAAAATGATCTGTTTCAATTCACGGATGGATTTCAAAACCATGCTTACACTCCCAATATTCTTAAATATCAATGTCCACACGATTATTGGCAACCACTATTTCAACCATATATACCACCATGTAATGTATACGCATTTGTGGTCAAATTTAGAAACTGACAATTTTCTGGCAGAAACAGGATTTGAGAATGTAAACGGGCAAGGAGAGAATTAATAGTTTCCTGAAGTCAGATCTGTAGTTGACCAAATAAATACAGTTACTTGGACAGCAGGGCATTCTAAGGCAAGGTCTGTGCCAATTGTGGTTTATCATTTTTTTCTGGCACCTGCTCTACTTCCTAGTAAACGACGGACATTTATCGTTCATCGTCAAACAGATTGTCACTTATCAATCAACATTCTGTTTACATTTTAAATTCTAAATACACACTGAATGTACATATGAGCAGTAGTTGAGCTTCATTCTATATTTGCTTTGTTGACTTAATTATTATTAAGTAATAGACAAATTTATTCCTTTCATAACTGATTAGATTAGTTGATAAAATAAATATGTTACATCTTCAACTCACATTTTGAAAGCTAAACAAGTGTTTTCTTCTTAAATTACTATCAAAATACATTTATTCTGCTCTTAATACACAATTCTACATACTCATAAGTCTTTGAAGGAGCATTTTTCATCTTACAGCATACACTAAAATGGGCATTAGAGAGTAGAAATAGAATATCTGTCTTTTCTTCAAGATCTACATCGTATCCAAATGGGGAAACAACAGGGGGCACCTTCCAATTTTAAACCCTTCTTTTGGCAAGGACAACAAACTTCTCTTCATCATGTCAAAAAGAAAATATCACCTTCAGAATACACACTTTCAAATATTCTGCTTACAGCAAGAAAGGCATACAAATCACACGCTTTATCACTGATCAACAACCTTTTGGCTTTCAGCGAGTGAAAAATAATCTCATATCTCGACTGCTTTCACACGATTCCATCAGCAATCCAATAATCTGATATTTCATCTAAAAAATATTTGTGCTGGCACGGATGAATCGCGCATGCTGAGAGCAATATCCCCTCACGACGGGGGTATGTGCGTCTGCGCAAACAAGGAGTTTTCATTTCCTCCGTTGAGAGGCAGAGGGACGTGAACTCTATGTAAAATGACATGCTAATGCCCTTGTACCTGTTAGTTGATGATTCCTGTGGATAGACAAGGAGACATCTTCATCTCCAAGCAGCCCCGGTGCAAAACGTGTCAACAAACTTACTGCATAACCAGAATAGTTTGCAGGATGAAACTTAATATGTGAAGTATAGATACAGCTATTTCCATGGCAAGAAAGTTACCAGAACAGCAAAAATGAATTGTGTGTGGAGTGTGATTTGATTATGGTTGTGGCATAAAGTGTAGCGAAAATGAACCGATCAAGCAATTTGTGAAAGTACCAAACAAAAACCAAACCCGATGCCCAAACATAAACCTAATCCTAAACCTAATCTAAAACCTAGTCAGCAGGCAAGGACTCTCAGCAAATGTCAGAATACATTTTCTTGTAACATTTATTCTGGTAGAGGTAGCGATGAATGCAACACTGTACCTATACCGATATCACTACCGGGTAACCCTAAACGTAAACCTAAAATCAAACCCTATAGAAACCCTAAACCTGACTCTATATCTTCAACAAAATAAGGCAGGGAGCAAGTGTCCCCACCACTAGATGTCATAGCACCGCTCCTTTTAAAGCATGTCCGTACTAGTTTGGCCAAGAGGGATTAGACCTCCTTGCATGGTCACTGACAGGTGGTGATCTCATCAAATCAGCTCTTAATTAACATAAGAAAAAGAGGATCATGGGGGACCAACGCGCACCGCTTGGGCATTGTTTACTATATAGAGGGCGCAAGTAGCTACAAGTAGTGCAGTGGGGCTTTAACATACCTTCTGGTAGAGGCAGTAGGGTCACTGCAGTGCTGATACGACTTCCACCCAGACTGACAAGGTGAGGGCGCTCTGACTGGACCTTGAGAGCACGCCCCGTCTCCGACAGCTCAAGAGACCCATCCTAAAAGAAACGAAAACAAAACAAAAAGTTAAAGTTTTTTATTTTTTACCTTGTTCAAGAAGATGGAAAAGAACAGGACACCTGGGGGGTGTTTCACAAAGATCCTAAGTTGAACTTATCTCTAAGTTGGACTTAACATTTATGGAAAGCCATTAGCATCTATGAAAATATTCTGTAAAAGTTATTTTAAAAGGCATAAAATGTTGATTCAAATCATTCATATTTTCTATCATCAAGGAGGTATCATGTTCTTGATGTGGAATTTATTTAAAGTCTAAAATACTTGAATTTTGGCTTTTGAATATATTTTATTTTAAGGCTACAAATGGCTCTCCATAATTTTTAAGTTCAACTAAATTTGTGAAACACCCCCCTGAATCTATTCATGTACTTTAGATAACAATCTTCATGTACTTTAGATAACAATCTTCATGTACTTTAGATAACAATCTTCATGATCGGTAGAGGATTTCAAGGTTTTTTTCCCTTCTTCTTTTCAAGTCATCCATTTGTAGCCATAATGGCATCAACTATGTGTAAAAGTAATGAATCAATAATACCTTTGAGACTCCAAAGAAATGAACGTTTTATTAAAAGGCAATTTGACATTTTCTCACGATGTAAGAAAATTATAGCATTATGGGCAACAAGACAAACAGTAAATGAAGCATGGCTGAAAATGAATAAAGAAAATGTTGGCTTTATATTTTTATAATCTGTTGACGAAAAGCAGAAATAAAGAGGGAACATCTGAGCTTAAATACACAAAATGATGATTATTTAGCTCGACATGACTTTCAAATATCCGTTTTTTTTCTCCATACAGTCTATGATGGGTAATTTTATTATTTAATCTCACTTGAAACCACAGCTAATTTAACAGTTTCAATTTAAAAAGTATTGATTGGGACCTTTAAAAGAGGGATACGTAGAGAGGAGGGAGTGAGGGATAGAGGGGAGGAGGGAAGGAGAGAGGGAAGGAGAGAGGGAAGGAGAGAGGGAAGGAGAGAGAGAGGGAAGGAGAGAGAGAGAGGGGGAAGGAGAGAGAGGGAAGGAGAGAGAGGGAAGGAGAGAGAGAGGGAAGGAGAGAGAGGGAAGGAGAGAGAGAGAGGTAAGGAGAGAGGGAATGAGAGAGGGAAGGAGAGAGAGGGAAGGAGAGAGAGGGAAGGAGAGAGAGGGAAGGAGAGAGAGGGAAGGAGAGAGAGGGAAGGAGAGAGAGGGAAGGAGAGAGAGGGAAGGAGAGAGAGGGAATGAGAGAGGGAAGGAGAGAGAGGGAAGGAGAGAGAGGGAAGGAGAGAGAGGGAAGGAGAGAGAGGGAAGGAGAGAGAGAAAAAGGGAAGGAGAGAGAGAGGGAAGGAGAGAGAGAGGGAAGGAGAGAGAGGGAAGGAGAGAGAGGGAAGGAGAGAGAGAGAAAGGGAAGGAGAGAGGGAAAGAGAGAGAGAGAGAGGGAAGGAGAGAGAGAGAGAGAGCAAGAGAGAGAGAGCGAGCAGGAAAAGAAACAAGTAGTTGTGGTCACAGCAACAAGCCAAACACTTAACAAAATCACTAATCATAACATAATGAATTCTTATTTCCTCATTTCAAAATCAAATGAATTTGATTTGATCACCTACCATTGAGCTAATATTTTACTACAGACAAAATACAGACCCTACACAATGACATCTATATCAGGAATTGAAGATGAGTGCTCTAAAATTGAAAGAGATTGTTTGGCATGGAATACTTAGCACAACTATGGTTTTTATTTGATTATGCTCCAAGTTTTTCAATATCTTAATTAAAATATGGAATGGCATAATGGTCAGAGTAATTAGGAGATATAATTAGATGAAAAATATATGCCAAGCCTTTGATATGAAATATAAGCTATACCTTAACTAACATAATAATGAGAATATCATCCGAGGACTATAAACAAACAAACTTAAATCCATATGAAAGTTAGAACCTCCTTGGCATTATAAATAGTATATTCCATCACAATTAACCTGTAATACTATATCTTGATACAAATCTATTAAGCACATAAGGCGTGTCTGCACTATCTCGAGATTGCCAAATATCCAGCTATTTGAATTATCCCGATCGCAAACTATCCAGCTAATTTGCGTCTTCATTAGACCGAAGTAGCAAATTAGCTGGATAGTTGGTCGGGATAATATCCCAAGATATCTTGGTCTAGTTTGCGGTTTTCCGTGTTTACTAGTTGTACTAGCGCGGCGCTGAGCGGTATAGATCGCATGTGCGCGGAAAACCGGAAATCGTTGTGCATGATGGGATCGGGATATTTGACTCCGTACTTCGGTCTAATGAAGACGGTCGCAAACTATCCCGCTAGTTGGGAAATAGTGGAATTCAGTAAATTGCAACAATTCTGTGAAGTGAAATTTGTGATTGAATCATTTCACGGCATAAACAAACAAAATTCAACCACTTAAGAATTTTTAAAATACTTTATGTGCCTGTAAGCCTCTGGTTTTACAGTATTCTAAGAACCCAGGGTTCTGTGGTTCTATCTAAAGGACCACACTTGGTAGGTTTGAGGTTCAAGACTCAACTGTAAAAATCTTCTTCAACTTGTTGTATGATATCATTTTTATCTCCATGAACCAGAAGTTCAGTGGTTTTAGCAAAAGGATCACAGCTGGTAGGTCTGAGATTCAATTCCGACTTGAACAATCTCCTTCAACTTCAATTACACGTTGTCAAAGCTAATTCTTATCATCAAAACTTAAGGTTCAGTGGTTTTAGTAATGGACCAACGTTGGTAGGTTCAGGGTTCTAGACTCACCTGGATAATCTTCTGGGTCCGTTTGAGACTGTCCTCCCAGTTATTGCTCATCCTGAGTTCATTGAGTTCCTCGCTCGTCAAAACATGATCCGTCACGATCAGTTCAGTTGTTTGCATATTCTGGATAAAAGATGAAAATGAGAGAAAGAACAGGTTATATTTAGGAAACTTGAGCGCTGTTAAATGGGTTACAAGTTATATGAACCCTTTACTTGTTTTGATCGACAAATGGAACAAACAGTGCATTGCCACAATCAACTTTGTCGTGTCTTTCAGATGGTGAAGTTGCAGATCAGTTGCAAATATACATGTATACATTTATTTATTTACATATTTATTTTAGCAGTGTTGCCTTTTCAGTTAACAAGCCATCAGGGCTCGCACAATAAAAACAATGTATATAAAATATTTATAGACTGAATAAGTACAAATTGAACACATACTATTTTGATCTGATAGATACCGGTACACAACTGAAAAAAACCTGATTACACACAAAGATCTAAATTTGGCAACTAAACAATCTCACAGAATGAATGTTTTAATAGAATGTGATTTCTCCACAATCAATGGAAAATGACCATCAAATGTTAAATTTGGCAACCCTGAGCAGCAGATTGACTGGCTGGCTGGCAAAGTAAACACAAATAATAAGCGAGAGGCTTACCATAATTATAAATACATCTCTTGGTGCGTATTAGTATCATAATCTTTTTATGAGCCCTATATAGAATGACACTGAACATACAGAATTACATCCCATTCACCTTTCACAAAAACAAACAACAACAGGATGAAGTAATTTGATAAAATTTAGGTAAAAAAATCTCTTTCCCTCCCTCCTCCTCCAAATGATATCATTATTCCCTGCATTAGCAATCTTCAATCTTAATCTTACATACCGGTACAATTAATGGGGAAAAGAGATGACAATGTAATATTTCATGAACATTACTACATAGTACATAGCTAGTTTTATAATCATCCTACAAAATAATTCTGTTCTTCCTTATTTGGCAAATTTCTCAGGTATTCACTGATCAGTCATGTTAAGAACCTCCAAAATTTCATGACGTTGGCAATACATCGCCAGATCGCTATGAAAGATCATTAAAATCCTTCTACATATTTTGGCATAAGCCTAATTTGGCATATTTTGCTGTTTACACTTTCTGATTATAATTATTCAGCATATTTTTGCCCACCTGAAAGATTCAAACATTTCCCCCCGAAACTTTTAAATTTAAACAAACTGCTTACATCAGGTGCTGAATAGATAACGCAGATAGGAGCCAAGAGAAACGCACTGTTTTCATTACATTACATAATGCAGCTTATATTAAGCAATTCCTAATCGAACTACAGTGTTTTATATTGATGATGTGCTAAAGAAAAGCAGATTTTAAACCTTTATCAATATTATTTGGACAATTAAGTGCAATAGGAGGCATATAGACAGCGGCCATTTTCTTACTAATGCACTGATTGATCGATTGATTGATATAAAAATATAATCAAATTCAATCAATCACAACTGTTTATGTTTATAAGATAAGGCCTTGTACAGTATGTATTGCATAATCTAACAGTCACATGACCCAAATCACACTGTCACCTGACCCAAATCACACTGTCACATGACCCTAATCTTAACTACCAGACCAAAACATTTCCTGGCCAGTGCACCTCAATCAAACGGACCGTGTCTATGAGCACTCGTCAGGAAATGGTCGCACTTAAAACTGTCCCTTCACCTGTTGCCATGGCGACACACATTGCTAGGCAACGTCATGTAAACGCGTTCGTTTCCCAGTTGTTGGCTTCAAATCGTTTTGGGGTCGGGGACGGAAGGAAGCAGTGGGCCTAAGATTTTAATTAGCCTAATTACGGTTGACTTAGATTCGGGCCTGCAGGTGAACCGTTATGGGAGCATAGTTTCCTTCGTTCATTAAACTCCTTCGATTTCATTAGCAAAACTCAAGAACATTACACTGCAATCTTACATTGCAGATTCTGTGAACTGTCTATAGTTTCAAGATTTTCTTTTTAATGACTTTTTCCCAGAATTGTTGATGTTTTGAATTCAAGGGCATTATGCCTCAATCTTATACATTGCAGATATTGTGCACTGTCTACAGTTGCCAGAATTTTTTCACAACTTTTTCGAACAAATCAATCTTACATTGCAGTTTTGTGAACTGCATGGCCACACTTTCAGGAACTTTTTTACAACTTTCTCAAACTTTGAAAAGGATATTGTTTATGTTTTAACCTCAATAATGTAATGCCCTAGTCTTATATTGCATATTCCGTGAACTGTCTATGATTTAAGCATTTTTATGATTGAATATCCAAAATTAATCCCTATTCTGTTTTTCAAAGTGTTAATAATAAATGAGCCATCCACTCCAATGGCTCCTGATATTTCATGTGGATCATGATGATGACTGAACTGTTGAACTTGAACTCTATGTCACTGCCACTGTTCAATGACTCAACATTATTCAGTAGAAGATGGTAAATCATCAATATACATAAAAAAACAAATTAGGCCTGAGGACTGGTCCTTGAGGGACACCATATGTTATCCTCCTCCTACTTGATATGATTGAACTGTTGAACTGCCACTGTTCCATGACTCAACGTTGGTTGTACATCGCTTGTGTAGCATTAATCACAACAATAATCTAAATTCAAAATATTTAGTAGAAGATGATAAATCATTAATATACAATAAAAACAAAGTGGGCCAGAGGACTGACCCTTGAGGGACACCATATGTTATCCTTCTCCTACATAAAATATGACTGAACTGTTGAACTTGAACTATACTTCACTGCCACTGTTCCATGACTCAACGTTGAAGCATTAATCACAACATTTTAGAAACCATCAAACACATGACACCACAAGGAGGGAAACGATCTAAATCCCTGTAAAAACGTCGAAACAGAAGCAGACCTGTTCACACTGGTGGAAATTGATACGCAACTTGTATACACAGACGTGGGTATAAAGAATCGAGGAATAGCAAAAAGGTGCTCACACTAGATAACATTGTATACAGAATCATTGCATAGCAGATGGGGTGTTCACATGAATAGAAAGTACCGAGTAGTATACCGTTAACGAAATTAGTTTTGAAGAGGTTATTAGACATATGTTTAAAGTTAGTTTAGATGATTTTAATGTCAGTTTAGATGATTTTAATGTCAGTTTAGATGATTTAATGTCAGTTTAGATGATTTAATGTCAGTTTAAATCATTACTGGCCAATCAGCGCCTGCTCACAATAAACCCTATACTGGTTACACAATTTTAGTATGATGCAACGTTTACACAAAAAAGTGGACCAAGGTTCTTTATCCACTTTCCTTGTGAAATGATATACAGTCCTCCGTTCTGCTAATTAATGTTTCGTTAAATGTTTGTGACGCTTTTTCGTGAACATAGGACGTGTTATCCTAATTACATTTGTTTGTATAACTCTACGTTACACAATGTTACGTTACACAATGTTTCGTTACACAATGTTCCATTATACAACGTTCAAATTAGAAACAAATATTACTCATTACAATCATACAGCTAGTGGTTTTTCCTATCGATATACAATGAACTTTCTAGGTCTGAATGGGGAGGGTTAATCTCCACAAACCTTCAAACAGAAGCAACTCAAAGCAAAGTCACATTTTCACTAATTCCTGCTGCTTAGTCACAGGTTAATCATACACTAAATTGGGGTTGGAGATTTCATCTACGTCAAAGGCAGAGGTGTTTGTGAGATGCAGAAGAGATGAGTAGTTTTGAGGTTAGGGAGTTTGGTGACTGTTTTTTGTTATTTCTGATGATAATAAAACAGATAAGGGAAACAGCTGCCCAAACTATTGTTGGCATTCTTTTGTTTTTTAAGAGAAAAAATTGGCAGTTTTTAGAAGTAATATTGGCATGATTTGTATGTGTTGTCAAAAATGGGTTTGGACGACTTTGCTTGGTAGACTTATCTCAAAGGTGACTGATAACCTCATGACTATTTGTTGAGGTTATGTCATTTGGGGGGACTGTTTTGCTATTCCTGATATAGGTGCATAACAGGTGCCCCCAAACCCTTTGTTGGCTTTCTTGTAGCTTTGTAGAAATAAAATGGGCAAGCATGGTTTGCAGAATGAAATCTGAAAATAATGCCAGAAACTTTGAAAGCAGGGAATTAAGGAAGTCAACAAAAAAGGATAGTACATCTGCAAGGCTTAAAGGAGAATTGGGCATCAAATTGTCACAATAAGAGCTGAAAACCTAAGATCTTTGGCAAACAACATCGATCCCTTTTCTTATGAAGAAGATATATAAAAGATCACCTGAAGAAAATTTGAAGAGAGCCATTATCATCTGCTGAGAGTTTGTTGGCCTTTTGCCTACTGGAACAAGGTCCCTGTTTCATCAGACTTGTTATCAATAACAAATGCTAAATTTCTATGACAAATTTTCTCTCAACCAATCAAACGCCATGATTTCAGTAGCTTATAACAGTTATTGTGACTTGTTTATTGATAACATGTTTTATGAAACAGGGCACATGTGGCTCCTGTATCAAAGCCTATATGAGAAAAAGAGAATTCTGAGGTCAATGGGTTGACACCCTTTTGGATCCGGCAGACGATATTTAACCCTTTTGCGACGATGGTCCATATTTCATGGTTTGACTTAGTAACAGAGGAATTAGTACACCAGATTAATAAGGAGAAAGGGTAAGATTTTCTGCACACCTTGCATCCATTTTTGTTTCATGATATGATGCCGAGAAATCTAAAAAGGAAAATAAGCTTTAAAATCCCTCAATTGGCAACATGACGAGATATTCAAAATCATTGTTTTTCTATCAAAATTTGTTGTTTTCTACAACTTTTCAACAACATTCTCGCCTGTGTATATTGTTTTCAGAGACATTACATCTCATGTTAACAACGTAGCAATAAAAGAAAATATTGTTGTCAGTTTGAGGTACAATATATGATCGATTCAACCCTAAAAATAAATCCAGTCCTGGAAGAGTTAACTGGGGCAGTTGCATACAACTAGGACAAGAGAATGTCACCTTCCCAACACCTTGGGATCTGACACCT